TGTGTGTGTGTGTGTGTGTGTGTGTGTGTGTGTGTGTGTGTGTGTGTTCCCATAGGGAATATGCAGAGCAGGAGAGGCTGGGGGATAACTCGGGGACAGAGGAAACTGGCCCTAAGTTCCTCTTTTGTGCTGCAAGGATGTAGAGCCTGGCTTCCAGAGAGCCACTGCTATCATGGACCCTCCTTTTTGGAGGTGGGGGGAGAAACAAGGAGAAGTCGTTCATGGTGGGGTGATTCTTGGGACAGAGGATGCCTGTGAGTGTTTAGACAGCTTTGGTTATAGGGTACTCTGTGTTGATAGAATTTGGGAAAGACCCCTTGCTAGATTCAGGAGGGGAGGGGTTGAGGAATAGGGGACTCCTAAAATGGATCCTGGACCATGAGGCCACACCCTGTATCCATCGCAGTGGGTGTTGGCCAGATCTGGCCTCCTGGTTGCCAATTTCCCCAGTTTGGACTGGGAAGTCAATTAGGTTTCCTTATTGATCGGTGAGGCCAGGCTGGTTATGGTTATCACCTCAGAGAATTCCCATATTTCTTCTGAAGTCTTTGATCCAGGTCAACACCCTCCCTCCCCCTTACTTACCTTTCTGTTTTTGAAGTTGGGCCCAGCTTTGGCTCCTTAAAGATAAATGAATTGGAGTAAGAATAACAGATGTTCCAGGGCCCGTTGAGGGCTTCCAGAACTCAGCTAATTTGTATTAACCCACCTGTCTTGCCAGCTAAACTGAGGTCTGTGAGGTTGAGATGGGATGGGTGGGATCTTGGCCGAGTTAGGATACTATTCTTGGACACCTTTACATACGTCACCTTCTTGGGAGATGAAGGTGCCAAAGCTAGAAGTGCTTTAGTCAGAGGACCTGAGTTTAATGTCTTTAGTGCATTCTACCTGGGTGACCTTGGGTCTTAAACTCTCTAGGTTTCAGTTTCCTCATCCGTGAAGAGAAAGACTCGGACTACTTGGTACTTGGCCTTTGAGGTCTCTTCCAACTATAAATCTATATTCCTGTGACCTTGCTCTCTTCTGGTGCTAATTGCCACGTAGCTTTTAAAAAATAATAATTTTTATTAATGGTTTTTGTTTTTACCTACATTTCCAAATGTATCCCTTCCTCCTCACAGACAGTCATCCCTTAGCAATAAAAAAGAGGGAAAAAACAGTTTAGTAAAACTAGTACACTGGAAAATGCCTGATGTTAAGTGCAGTGTTCCGTATCCATTGTCCACCACCTCTGCAAAGAGTCCCCCACCTCTGCAAAGAATCCCCCAGCAGGTGCCTTTTCATCTGCTTTCTTTGGCACCGGAGCTTGGTCCCTATAATTTCATAATATTTTTGTTTTGTAATTGTTTTTCTTTCCATTTATACGTTGTAGTCATTGTCTATGGGCAGCTGAATGGCTAGGTGGGTAGAGTGCTGGGCTTGGAATCAGGAAGACTCATCTTTCTGAGTCAAGTCTGGCCTCAGACACTTACTAGCTGTGTGACGCTGGATAAGTCACCCTGCTTGCCTCAGTTTCCCCATCTGTAAAATGAGCTGGGAAAGGAAATGGCAAACCACTCCAGTATCTTGGCGAAGAAAACCCCAAATGGGGTTGTGAAGAGTTGGACATAACTGAAATGACTGAACAGCAAGATAGTAGCCACTGTGTATATGGTTTTCCTGGTTCTGCTGACTTCACTTTACATGAGCTCATATCTCTTCCCATCATCCTCTGTATCATCATATTCATCATTTCTTGTAGCACAGTTATATTGCATTAGCTTTATGTACCACATTTTGTTTAGCTATCTCCAGTTGATTGCCCTATAGCTTGTTAAGTAAAACAGTGGGCACCTTTCTACGGGTACAGGTAGAGAAGAATAATAGGAGGGGAGTGGGACCAAGAGTCCACTGATCAACCACGCCAGACCATCTCCCTAAGCCAGAGTGAAGTGGATCTTGCCCTGTTTGTCTGGGCTGCTCAGAGGCCTACATTACACAGTATGGCCCAAGCCCTCATCTCTTAAGGAATGTCGTTACCCTTCTCCCCTCCACTTTTACCTGGTACCCAGCAGTACTTCACTTTTAGGCACATCCGTTTATGACATTTACTTGGTCAGGGGAGCCCAGACAGGGGCCTCCCAGAATAGTAACTGTGATGTTGCCATCCCATCTGTCTCTGCAAAGACCCAGTGCCTAGTTAATCACCTTTCCTGTCTCCTTCCTGGCAGCCTTTCCCCCCAACACCCCTATGCCTCCCTATCCACAGCATCCCTTAATTAGATCTGTCTGTTATGCTGTCACTCTACCCCGGGGCTTGACAGTTCCCAGGCTTTCAGGCCTTATTGAGCAGTCCTTGGTCAGGGAGAATTTTTTTTTTCTTTTTTTGTAATGAGCTTTGGATTTGGGGTATGAGTGAGTCCTTGCTCAATACTAAAAGGGGAATTAGATGATTCCATAACCCATTTAAAGAGGGGAGACTGAGGCATGGTGGAGTTGCTGACAGCACAAGTTTGTTTATTCATTCCTCAGATGCTTATTGAATGCCTCCTGAGTTCAAGGCACCATATTGGCAAGAATTGTCCCTGGAAACAGAAGACTCGTATCCTGACATTCAGTTCCATCTATAACCTTAATTTGTTTTAGATTGGCTCTTGGAAACAATTCTGTTCTCCTCCCCACTACATTGTCTGAGTAGTAGTGAAGGGGTCAAGTATGGCCATTTTAGTCCCATCATCGGGGGTATCTGTCAAAGGCCAACATTGACATGGGGAAACTCCCCTGAGTTCTGGATCAGGAAGAAGAGTTCCTAGGACTGGAGGGGCTCGGAGTCTCATTCAGACTCCAGCTCACCTGCTCACTCCATCAGGAGTTTATAGGATCATAGATTTAGAGCTGGAAAGGGCCTTAGATACCACCGAGTCCAACCTTTTTATTTTAGATGAGAAAATTGAGGCACAGAATGGTTAAATGACTTGCCCAGGGTCACAAAGCAAGTTAAGTGTCTGAGGATTTGAACCTAAGTCTTCCTGACTGCAGATCCAATGATCTATCCACTGTGCCATATTGCCTCTCAGTTGAGGAAGGGAGGGAAGCTCTTGGCCTCCTAACTAGTCCCCGAACTTGTGTTCCACCATCTGTGTTTTCGTTTATTTACCCTTCCTACTCCACTCACCTTCATATGTCTATCTCTCTTCCTCCTACAGCCACAATGAAAGACGGAACACATTTCTGCACCCAGTAACCGGCCAGATCCCGGAAGAAAACAAAAGATTTGACTTGAAAAAGTAAGCTTGCCCTCTCCTCTGCTGCCTGTTAGACTGTCGGTCACATCTGCACCTTCTTCCTTTAATATGTTGTCTATGCATCAGATGGGGAAGGGAAGACAGGTATTTAGGGTGTTCCTAAATACGGAAGTGTTGGGGAACATCTCCAGTGTAACACCTTCTACCACTTTTCCCAGAACTTCCAAAGATCAGGCCAGTTTACCAGAGTGTAAGCCCCATGCCTTACTTACCATGGCATCCCCCTCAGTTCTGAGCATAGAAGTCAACAGATGTTAGGCAATTAATGTTTGTTAAGTAAAGTTTTGTTGAATGTATCTATTGGATTTAGTTCTGATGGTATGGACTGAGAAGGAGGTCTGATGTGGGTCTTGGTGACCAGAAAGGGGCTCAATGTGTAATCAGAGAGGGATCACTTCTTGAGTAAGTGATCAAGGCTAAAATCACTGATGGAGTGAATGGGGAGCTCTTTTGGAGCTCCATTTCTTAATAATGGAGGACCATCTCTAGCTGTCCTTTTATCTCTCCACTGGACCCAGATGGCACCAGAGAAGAGAGTGAGGCTGGTGACTTTGCACAGCCTTCCCTCACTTAAATCCAATTCACTTGCATGTCATGGCATCACGTCCCTGATGTCAGGGTCCTCTTCGAGAACAAAGGACAAATAACAACAAAAGTCCTAATGATGAGAACTGAGTCCTCATTATTCCCTCCCACCTTTGGCTTTGGCTCCCCAAATTAAGAACTCAAACAGGAAAATCAGGTATAAATCATAGACAATTAAAAGACACAGTTCTCATTATCTACCCAGACTTTTTAGACTAGAGGAGAGAAAGGAGGGGGAGTTTTTGGAGCATCTTTGCATGCTCTGAAGCACCTTGTGGGGGCTGAGCCAATAGGAGCTGCTGCTAATTTTTCAGAAAAGGAGAGAATAGAATTCTGAGGATAATTGTAAAGTAGTCTTCCCCAGCACAAGATGATTTCTTGATCACCAGGAAGCACTGATTTTACTTTCATTTTTTAAAAGATAACATTTTGTTGATATCTTTTGTTTTTATTCACCTACATTTCCCAACATTCTCTTTCCCTCCCTGAGCACTTTGCCGTATAACAGAGGCTAAAGTGTAAAAAAGAGGAGAAAAATAGTTCAGCAAAATTAACCAACTTATACAATTTTGGGGGATATTACATACAGTGTTCTATACCCATAATTCCCTACTTCTGCAAAGAAATGGGGGGAGGTTCAAAGTACCAGTTTTCTACTGATGCTGGCCCAAGGACCAGGAATTAAGAGAAGAAGACAGGGAGATGGAGAAAGGAAGAAACGGGGAAAGTGGCTGCTTCTTAACTATAACAGTTTCCCTCTTCTCTTCCTATCTAACTTGGGACTCAGATCTGCCTCGGACATGTCCAGTAAAACTGGTGGAAAGCGCCCGACAACCACCCCCAGTGGCACAGCCAACAACAACAACATGGTGTCTGAGGTCCCCCCAGAGCGGCCCAATGTCAGGGTAAGTCTTTCTCCCGAGAGTTGCAGTCAGAGTCTGGGGAGACTCTGGTTAAGCCTAGGACACTAGTCAATCTAACTAGACAATTAACCCCAGCCCTGAGCTATCAGAAGAATTCAGAGGGCACTCTCTTCCACTTCCTTTACCTGAGAAGTCCTTCCAGTGTTCTAAAATCCCTGAAAGTTCTGAATATTGTGTAATGTAAAAAGAAAAAAAATTCTAAGCACTTTTTTTTCTATTATTTCCTTTAATCCTCATAATAACCCTGTGAGGTATCATAGGTATACTTATTCCCATTTTAAGGATGAGAAAACTAGGCCTGATAAAGTTTTCACTCAAGGGTTTTGCACTCCATTGGACTTCACAGGGATCCCAGTATCTTGTAGGATCAGAGTATCCAGAACTGGATGGGACCTTAGGTGCCATTTAATTCAACTCTCTCACTTTACAGATAAGGAAACTGAGGCCCAGGGAGGTTAGGTGATTTATCTAGACCACGTAGTGGATTCAGATTCAGATCTTGTGACTCCAAGTTTGGTATTCCCAAGTTCAGTGCTCTTTTCACTGAAAGACCATTGTCTCATTTAAATCAGTCCAAGAAATCTTTGTGTCCATCCTTTGCTATTTTTGAAATATGCCTTGATCTCTAATCCCAACCTTAGACACTAGACTTCGAAGATGCTGGGTCTTTCTTGATCTTGATCCTTTGTGGATTCTTGGGTCCTACCTACCTTGTCCCATCCCCTTTTGCCATTGCCCCCATCTCTGACTACCTGGCTCAGGCATGCATTCCCACTCTCCCTTCTTCTACCAGCTGCTACACTCACCACACACCATAAGACTATATTTTTCTAAGGCCTCTTTACAGAAAAGAAAATGTATAAATTCAGAAATAGCACACTAGGATAAGGTCATTAGAAATGTGAATTTAAAAAGTCTCTCTGGTCCTAGCCCAGGTGGGCCCTCACTTCTTTAGTGATTCTGTCTAGCTACATGTTCAGTTCCTGGTGGAGCATGGCTCATTAGGATTCTCTCTGCCTTGAGCATCTGCTGTCTCCTGGGCCAGAGACAAGAATGGTATCTTTCCTTACACAATGCCCCCAGGCTTATTTTGGGGTGGGGGTGGGGTGAAGGGGGTAGAGGGCGGGACTCATCCACCAGGGCCCCCTGGATTGAGCACATTCTCCAGGCTTATTCAACCAATCGGAAATTCTTCTGATTGCAAAGGGGGGTGGGATGAGGTGGAGGTTAGTGTTGTGCCCATATTACTATGCAAATCACTTGGTATCTGAGGTGTTTTCCTACTGAGAAGGAACTATGAAACAGGTACAGACAGTTCCTATGACTTCAACAACCAAAATAATTAAAGCTGAAACACAGATCACCCCCAGAGTACACAAGAGAGAACTTTTCTGGGCTTTTAAGGAAAGAGGCTAAGTGATTTGTCCAAAGTCACACAACTGGTTAGTGGTGGAGTTGAGACCAGAACCCGGACCTCCTGACTCCTTCCTAGTCTTAGGCTCTGGGTGCTGTGAGGGCTCCGGGGATGGAGGATGGGGAGAGATGGAGTGAGAGAGGGAAAGAGGGAGAGGGGAAAAGAGAGGGAGAGAGATGAGGGGGAAAAGCTAAAGGATCAGCACCTCCAAGCAGAGGCAGCCATCTTGGAAGACGTGCCAAGGAGGTAAGAGATGAGGTGAGCAAAGTTGAGTTCTTCTCTGTTTCTTCCTCCCCAGGCACCTCGTACTTCCCGAAAAGCTATCGCCTTCGGCAAACGTTCCAACTCCATGAAGCGAAACCCGAATGCTGCTGTCACAAAGAGTGGCTGGCTCTTCAAACAGGTACCTTTTCTCAATGCTCCCTGGGACACCTTTCTATCCTCCTTGTACCTCTGAAGAGACTGTGGGTGGCCCCCAGGGTTCTGTCTTGGGCCCCATCTTCAGATCCCTCTGTACTGCTTCATTTGGTGTTCGCATTACCTCCCATGGACAGTGATACCAGCCTTCTTGCTATTCCTCCAACAAGGCACTCCATCCCCAGCCTCCAGGCAAATATTTGCCCCATGCTTGGACTGCTCTCCTTCCTCTTCTTGGCCTCCTGGCTTCCTTCGCTTCATTCAAGTACTAGATAAAGTGGAAGTCCTATCTTCTACAGGAATATCCCTTTAATTCTAGCGCCTTCCCTCAGTGGGGAATTTATCCTGTATACAATTGGTTTGTGCATAGTGTTTGCTTGTGGTCTCCCCTGTTGCATTATGAGGTGCTTGAGAGCTTTATCTGTATCTCCAATGCTTGGCTCATAGTAGGCAGTTAATAAATTTATTGACTGATTGATGGAGCTATCTGCTTTCTGATTTATCCTCTGAGTGACTTGAGAGGTGATTTTCCCCAATGATCCCATAGCATGTTAGTTTCAGAACAGAATCTAGAACCTAGGCCTCGTGTTCTAGGGTCCTTGGCTTCTGGAGGTATAGGACCCCCTCCCTCGCTGTTCTTTCCACTGTACATGTTGACAGCCATCTGTTTCTCCATGTGTCCTTCAGGCCAGTTCTGGGGTGAAACAATGGAATAAACGCTGGTTTGTCCTGGTGGATCGATGCCTCTTTTACTACAAAGGTGAGTTTGTCTCCTCCCTGCCCCCTCCACCAGAAAAGGGACAGCCCCAGGCTGACCTCCCATGCTTTCTGTACCCTGCCCCATCTTCAGAGCTGAGCTGAACGCACACACACACACACACACACACACACACACACACACACGCACACACACACACATGCACCCACACATACACATACACACACAGAGTCTGATTTAGTCATTAAAGATGCCAAGGTCATCCACTGCATCCCAGGCCATTACCAGTCATCTTGACTTTTATTCTGCCCCTGGACTTTGATGACTCTGGAAGAGAGAGTGGGGCTGAGGATACTATGTGCCTCACTTAAATCCAAGTCCAGATACCACCCATGATGTTATTGGTCCTTTTCAAAAGTGAAGGACGAACAACGATAACAACAACAACAAAAGCACAGTGCCTTGCACACAGTAGGCACTTAATAAATGCTTGTTGACTGGTTCGGGATGGTATAGGGCATCACTGGGAAGTGAGGGCAGCATTGGGACAAGATACTGGGTGTGGGGCAGAAGAAGAAAGAAGGAAGATGAATTGATACAAAGGGAAGGGTGTGTGGTCAGGCTTCAGAGCAGAGCTCAGGTGTAGATTTGCAGAAGGTCCTGCCCTCCTTTTCCCTTCCTTCCAGAGAAAGTACAGCATCTTGCAACTCTGGAGACTGGGCACTTAGTTATCAAAGCTCCCCACAGCAACACTATTCAATTGAATTCAACTGACATTTATTTAAGAAACTGTAAAGGGCAAAGGCACTGTGCTAGGTGCTGTGGATATAAAACCCCAAATGAGACAATTCTTGTCCTCAGGGAGCTTACATTTGGGAAGGGGGGGGTGGTACAACTTGTACACAGGTGATCAAATCCAAAAATTATACAAATTGGAGTGTGGGTGAGCATCACTCTCAACGTAGGAATTAGTCAACAGGCATTTATTAAGCATGCATTGACTGTGTGTCAGGTTCTGTGCTAAGTACTGGGGATACAAAGAAAGGCAGAACAAAACCAAAAACCAATCTCTGCCCCGAAGGAGCTCACACTCTAATGAAAATTACTGGGCACATGCAATATATTTACATTGTTTATGGGAGGTTGTCTGAAAGGGAAGTTACTCTCTTTGCTGGTAGTCACATTTTGTTTTAAGTTTTAGTTCTTCCCAAAGGAGGGGTATTGTGTCCCCCCAAATGAAGATATTTGGATAAATATAATGCAATCACTGTAAATTTTCGTATTTTAAATTTACAAGTGGGAAATGTCAGGGGAAAGGGGGGGAAGAGTGGAAGAACAAATGTGCCTTTAACATAGGAAGTAATTCTTCTTTCCTGAGACCCGTGAAACTTTGACCCTTTGCCTAAACTAGAATGAACACATAACATTAAATTAACTGGAGAGGGAAAATGAAAATCTAGACTCTAAAGTCTTGCCTTCAATCAGAACTTATATTGTCTATCATTAGTACCATTTCAGTAGACTTCTATGGATATTTTGTTTAGGAAGTGGTCATTCAGAACAAAATATGCATATAAAAATGTAGAATTTTATTTTGTATTACATATAGTTTAAATAGACATATATAAATATATATGTATAAAATAATACCAAATGTATTATTTTATTTTAAAATGCATAATTTAATTTTCAGTAATAGACTCTAGAGCAGAGGTGGGGAACCTGCAGCCTCAAGGCCACATGTGGCCTTCCAGATCCTTGGGTGCAGCCTTTTGACTGAGTCCAAGTTTAACAGAACAGATCTTTTTAGTAGGGGGATTGGTTCTGTGAAGTTTGGATTCAGTCCAAGGGCTGCACTCCAGGGCCTAGAGGACCACATGTAGCCTCGAGGCTGCAGGTTCCCAAACCCTGCTGTAGACCCTTGAGGAATACAGCTCTACATGGGATCTGTGTCAGATGATCTTGGGCAGTAAACTTGTTAGAGAGCTTGGTTTGAACCCTGCCACCTTTCCCAAGTGACCAAAGTCACCTTTGCCCAGATTATTCTGGGGTGTTTCACCAGCAGCGACTGGGTTGTTTTTTACTTTCATTATATTCTTCCCCCCCCCAAAGAATGGAACAAAATGAAGGAATAGCAGCCTCTGGATGATGAAATTCACGGGGATATGGCATAGACATGAGTTAGACCCAGAGTATAGCCTTTCTGTAAACAGAAGGACCACTATTCCTCCCATTCCCTGGCCTTGGGATGCCAGACACCTGTCTTTCTCTTTTCCCTGGGTTCTCCTGGGAGCTGCACAGTGAATCATTAACCTTGGCAAACAAACTCTGTACCCAGCGACTCCCCCCCCCCCCACCCCCTTCCAGGTATCCCTACACCCCAGGCTACTATGGTTTTAGCTCAGTGTGGGGTGAGATTAGGGTGAGGTGCAAGATGGTAGGTGGGATCTGTCCTGGGGAGGTACAGGGTTTAGGATGTGAATGGTCTGCAAGAGCATAATCCCAGGTGGCAGGCAATGGGGAACCCAAGAAAGTGTCCAAAGGGGAAAGGGAACTGAGATATTTGGTAGAATCCTGCTTTTAGGGAATGCTTTGTGAACACTCCTATCCTCACTTCCAGAGGAGACTGATGTAAAAGGCACAGCTAATCTCCCTCCTGATAACTAGTCCCTGAGGTCATAGCTAATATGGCCACAGCCAAAGCCTTCTAAAATTTAGGATGCTGGAGCTGGAAGGAACTTGGAGACCTAGAAAAGGGAGGTGCAGAGAGAGGTTAAGACCAATTGCTTTGTGAGGTAAAGGACTGGAATGAAAATAGGACAAGCCCCTGGGCTAGAGGCAACTCTAACCTTTAAAAGGTGTTTTGTTTTTTTCCCCTGGAGCTTGAAATTAAAATTGGCTGGCAGTCTTTCCAACCCTGAGGATAAAACAGGAAAGTGGTGGGAAGGGAAAGGGCTATGGTGGACAATGGAGAGGCCCGCTGAGCCATTGAGAAAGGCGCTCTAGTCAGAGGGCTACTATGGGGATGGCTTTTCTTTTAATATGGCCTTTTATCAATGTATGCATTTTTAACCTAAGAATATGCCTCTTTCCACAGCCTGAAGATTTCTAATTCGTGATAGATCAATTTTTATATAGTAAAGGCTCAAAGCATTTTGACCAGTAGCCGACAACACACAGAGGCGCCCAATTTAAAAAAAAAACTAACCTAGGGCCACAAATGCTGGGGAAGAGTTATGCCGACTGTCTTAGCTACAGTAGGCCTGGCCCTGCTTTTCCACTACCCTGCCCCCATTTGGTTTATCCAGTCTTACCTTTGGCTAGCAGCTGGGGTCTGGACTGTCTAATCCAAAGGGCTCCTCTGTGAGCCGGCATTGTGTACTGGATCCCCAGTGGGATGAGAGAAAGAGCCAAGATGCCATGCTGGAAGCTGGGAAGTGGGAGGCAGTGCAGGGGAGTGAGTTGAAAGTAGGATCCTTGCTACTAGCCAGGGGCCCAAGGGCATACAAAATAACTGAGGCGCCTGCCATGGGTCCCCTCTCCCCACCCCTGCCTCACCTCCCTGTCCCAATTGTTCTTTCTCCTACAGACGAGAAGGAGGAGAGTATCTTGGGAAGCATCCCGCTCCTGAGCTTCCGGATAGGGGCTGTGCAGCCCTCGGATAACATCAGCCGAAAATATACCTTTAAGGTCAGTGGGCCACCCTGGCTGGGCAGAGGCCATCCTGCCTACCTCCTGCCCTCTTGTCTTTCTAGCTCTCAAGTCAGTTCTTCTCAGAGCTGCTGGGGAGTGAGAAGTCAACTCTCCACTTGCCTACAGGGTCGTAGAATTTAGAGCTGGAAAGACAGACACTTGCTAGCCCCATCCTCTCATTTTATAGACAAGGAAACTAAAGCCCAAGGTCATATAGTTAGTGAATAGCAGAGCTGGGATTTCAGCCCAGGTCCCCTACCTCCAAAACCAGTGCTTTTGGGATTTATACCCTATTGGATCTGAGAAGAGATGAGATGACTTTCATTTCCCAGTCATCTTAGAGGAAAGCTCTATTGGCACTGAACTGGAGCACTGTGAAAGGTATTTCAGGGCTAGGCTGACTTTGTGGTAGAGGTTCCACCTTCTCCAGGATAGATGTCTTCTTGGCGGGACTCCTCCCAGGATCCTTTGAGGTATCGACTTTCAGATTTCCCAGGGGTGGTAGGTGAGAGGAGGGAGTACTATCAGCCTGCCCTCTATTCCCCCAACCCTGTCCAGTGACCTGGGGGCAGGTCTTCCATGGAGATTTTTCAACCTTGCTATGTGAAGTCATCCCTCCCTGTGCCCTTTTCTCCCTGGCATGTATTTATGTACTTCCCAGTCTTCCTGGTGGTGTTTATGTGGGATCCTAAGACCAGGCTCTCAGACCCCAGCTCTGTACCCAACCAAAGCATACTTTCATGCCAGGATCATAGTGGAACCCAGCTTGGCATGGTCAGCTCTCCAACACCCAGTGCCTAAGGATTCCTTTCTAGCATTTGTGCTGTGAGTTATTAGAAGATGGGGTGAAACTTATGGTGCCCTGAGTTCCCCTTTAAAAAGGCCCCTTCTGAGTCTCAGGCCATTCAGAATCATGGAGCTGCAATGAGGCCACCAACCCAACCTGATTCTAGATAGGTTTCCCCTCTCTGTCTATAAGTAGTCATTCAGCCTCCACTTGAAGACCTGCAAAGCTAAGGAACCCCATACCCCACTGAGGCAACCCATTCTGTGTTAGATAACTCCAAGAGAAAGTTTTATGAATTGTAATCTGCTCCTTTGTAGCTTCTATGTATCTCCTAGCTCCACACTCCAGAGCCAAGCAGAACAGGACCAATCTCTTGTTCAGAGATTCACAGACAGTTGTCACTGGAAGGGCCCTTAGAGGTGATTCTAGTCTAAACCCCTCATTTTATAGTTGAGGAAACTGAGTCCCAGAGAAGTAAAGACTCTTGCCTAAGGTCATAAGGTAGTTCCTGGGTCCCTCAACCCCAAGGACCTCATTGTCTATTTTTGGGTGAAAGTGGGAAGTGAATTTCATTATGATAGATTTTAGCTGAACAATCCTTGTTCACCTGAGCTACCTTGCACCTTCCTCTCTTGCCTCCCAGGTATGCCTCCCAGGTAGACTTCTCTGATGAGTAGCTCTCCATAGAATACTGAGAAGCCAAAACTATGACACTAACCTTTGGACAACCAAGCCCTTCCATGGAGATGGTGGCAGGCCCTAGGAAGAGATATTCAATGCCTAGACTTTATGAGATTTTAAAATTCTAGACCTATTCTGTCCTTGAATTAGTGACCACTTGGTTGCAGAAAGGAATAGGGGCTGCATAGGCATGTACTAGGCTGGAGGGAGGGAATTATTTAATAGCACGTAATTAGTTTCTAGTCTCCTGGGATTGTGTGTGTGTGTTTCGGGGGTGTGAACAGAAAGAACAATTAATAGAACCCCGACTCCCGGGAGCCCTGGATCTGGCTGGGGAAATGGGAATGTGCTGTTTAACCAAAAACAAACAGTCCTGGTGTACACAAACACCCCCACCCCCCACTTACGCACTTGTGTACACACACAAGCAGACTGTCTTACCCTCCCCAGCAGACCTGTTCGGGTACACACACACCATCCAGACCTAGTGGAGTTGGCTGGAGACAGCAGGCGTTTGAGGAATATTGATTGACTGACAGACTGATGCCATAAGCCCCAGATTCTTCCATCTCCTTTCTTCCCTCCCCCCCAATCCTACCCCCGCAGCTTGGCACCGAGCCTCTTTAAAACCCATTTCAGAGAGAGCTCTTCTCATTGGCCCTCAACGGGTCCTGTCTGTGCCTGCCTATTCACTGACCCTTCCCCAGGGAAGGGAGGGGAACAGAGACAGAGAGGAGGCTTGTCTAGCAGTGGCCACCAAGGGAGCTCATGGATCCTTAATAGTGCAGTCAGGGTCTATTCTTGCTGAGTCCAGTGCCAAGTATGTTAACCTCTTCCTGGTCATGGGAGCAAACCCTAGGGAGTTGAGGTGGTCTTTGGACTTTTCATGGCATCACTCTCCATTTGGGGAGTTTTTTCAGTCATATTCCCTAACCTTTTTTTCCCAGGCCCCTTCAATCTTCAGTATTTCTCCAGATGAGGGATCTTCCCTTTTCTTGGAGGTCATGGATCCCTTCGACAGTCTAGTGAAACTTAAGGACCCCTTCTCTGAATGATGTTTTTAAATGTATAAAGTAAAATACATAGTATTACTAAGGAAACCAATTATATTAATAAATAGTTATTGAAAGTTTTTTTTAATTTCTTTTTTTAAATTAATTTATTTTCATTTATCAACAATCACTTCTATAAGCTTTTGAGTTTTAAGTTTTCCTCCCTGTCCCTCCCCACCTTCTTCCTCAAAAAGCTCACAATCTCATATAGGCTATACATATACATTTCTATTAAACATATTTTCACATTAGTGATGTTGTAAGGAAGAATTAGGACCAATAGAAGGAACCACAAGACAGAGGAAACAAAACAAAACAGAAGAAAAAAAAAGAGCAAATAGTAAGCTTTGATCTGCATTCCAGCTCCATAGTTTTTTCTTTGGATGTGGATGGCATTTTCCATCATGAGACCTTTGGAGCTGTCTTAGATCCTTGTGTTGCTGAGAAGGGTTAAATCTATCAACGTCATCACACAACGTGGCTGTGAAAGGTTTTGTTTTTTTTTTTTAAACCATATCACAGACCCCAAGTAAAGAACCCTGCTCTGAACCCTGATCTGTTGTCCTCTTTCTTCCCAGGTCCCACTCTCAATCATAAATTGATTTTTTTTTTTAATTTTTAACACTTTTTTTTTCAATTTTGAGTTCCAAATTCTCTCCAGCCCCTCCCCCACCCACTGAAAAGGCAAACAATGTGAATCATAAGATATTAAAGCTAGAAAGGATCTTAAAGATTATCCATTCTACTCCCCTCATTTTACAGATGAAGAAACTGAGGCCCAGAAACGAAAAGTACCCAACATAGTAGGTATCAAATAAATATTTGATTTTAATTAAATTGAATTGACCTGCCCAAAGTCACAAAGGTTGAAAATGAGTTCGACAAGATGCTTTCAGGTGTTCCTCCTAGCTCAGCGAATTTTTGAATAGGCAAAGTAACAGAACAAGGGTTCGAACATAAATCTTCAGACTCCAAGACCAGTATTTTTTCTTCTATACCCCACTCCTTTCCTCTGAAATTCTTTTCGCTTTGATGGCATTGTCTGCTTGTTTTACATAGACATGTTCTGTCTGTAGCTTGACTGGTTTAGTTCTACAATGGCACACTCTCCTCTTTTCCTCCTTTATTGTCTTCCAAGAGAGTGCCACATCTAGGAGATGCTCCATAAGTATTTGTTGAATTAATGAGTGAATTCCTTCAGTCTTTCCTCCCTGCAGCCTCCAGATATTTTCCCATGTTTCTTCCTTCCCTAACCACACTCCCTTTCAGTATCTTCTACCCCAAGGGCCTCCACAGTGCCTGTTCAGGGTCCTATTCTTGGCTGTACTAATTGGTCACAGCAATTCTTTATTTTTGAGAGTCAGTCTCACAAAGATGACTAGCCTCTAGGATTAGACCCTGTCCTAGCCCTCCGGGAACTCCCATAGTCTGATAGGGAAGGTGCAGTCTCAGCCCTCAGAGAGGTCCTAGTCTGATTCAATAATTCAACTCTAGAAGCATTTATTAAGTGTTAGGGACTGTGCTAAGCCCTGTAGGTTAAACTCTGACCATTAATGAAGGGATAGTGTAGACAGAGCTAGCCCAGGAGTTCTGACTTCCTGTTTCATGCTCTAACTCCCAGTCCCAACACTCTCCAGCTCCTCTATCCAGCAGAGGATGGTGGGCACTAATGAGCAAAGCCTCTAAGAGATTTATGCCACCCTAAAAGAAAATGGGGGGGGGGCAGCTAGGTGGCACAGTGGATAGAGCACCGGCTCTGGATTTAGGAGGACCTGAGTTCAAATCCGGCCTCAGACACATAACACTTACTAGCTGTGTGACCCTGGGCAAGTCACCTAACCCCATTGCCTAGCCAAAAAAAAAAAAGAAAAAGAAAGAAAAGAAAATAGGGTTGTGGCTAACTACCTCTCTCTGCCCTTCTGCCCCCTTCCCTGTCCTGCTCCTTGCTCCTTCTCTATCTCCTCCTCCTTGTTGTTTTTCTTCTCTTCCCCTCTGGTGGTTGGTTGACTGCCCTTCTTCCTCCTTCCCTTCCCTACTCCTTACTCCCTTCTCTATATCCACCCTTCTATTGTTTCTCTTCTCCTCCCCTCTGGTGGTTGGTTGACCTGTTCTCTATCTCTCCTCCTTCTCATCGCGTGAGGATCCCCCATCCTCTGGACAGGAGCTCTCTTCCGGGTTCCCGCCCGCTGTGCCTGCCCGTGGCCACCGACTAGGTAGTATGTCCTACCCATGTAACAGTGCATGCCCCCTTGCATGCCTGTGGAGATAGAGGCTTGGTTGTCTTCCCTTCACCCCACCCCACCCTTACTGGAGAAATGGTGCCAGTTTCTTAGGCTGAAAGCCAAGGGACAGATGAGTAGGTGCCAGGCAATGGAATCTCCCTCAAATCCAGGGTGATTATCCTTAGAGTAAAATAAGGAATCAAATGGAAAGTGGGGGAAATGGGCATGCTTAATTGTCCTGCCTGTGGTGTGACTGCTGCAGCTCCCTCAGGAGCTGGTAGGCAGACTAAAGTGAGCACCTGGATCTTGGTTGGAGTATCTGGGATGGCTCTGGGTGTTTCTCCCCCATCCCAGCCTCCGTCCTTGGCCTTGAGCACCAAGTATGAGGAGAGTGGCCCAGGAATGACCCCCTTGCCTGCCTGTCTGGTGGGCTTTGGTCTCTTCTCTTTGCAGGTGACGGTGTGCTGGGCAGGAGAGGCCAGGGCCGATCCCACGAACTGCCTTTCCCCGCAGGCTGAGCATGCTGGGGTCCGCACCTACTTCTTCAGTGCTGAGAGCCCTGAGGAGCAGGAGTCCTGGATCCAGGCCATGGGTGAGGCAGCCCGGGTACAGATTCCCCCAGCTCAGAGGTCAGCCCCTCAAGCTGTTCGCCACAGGTAAGCACCATTGGGCTAAGGGAGGAGAGAGGGATGGTGGGAAGGTGTCAAGGAAGAAGGACACTCAGGATCTTCCTCATTCTCAACCCCCTGACCTTCCCAGTGCTACTGCCAGTGAGGTCTCTAAAGGTCATTTTACTTATCTGCCTACCTCCACTACTTTTGACCTAGCGTTGATAAGGGGGAACCTACTTCTCAAGGGGTGGTCTGTCAAAAAGCACCTATTAGGCACTTACAATGTCCTAGACACTGTACTAAGTGTTTTCAGATAACAGTAAAAAGCAAGAATAGTTCCTGCCTTCGGGAAGCTTACATCCTGATGGGGAAGGCAACACACACACACACACACACACAAACATACACATATATCTACATACAAGATAGATATGAATTAAATTGGAGATGGAGTGTCATGTTCAGGTTCCTGCAAGGTGGTCAGTATAACTAGATCACAGAGTTGGTGGAAGTGAGTAAGATGTAAGATGTAAGATGTATTTACTGGAAAAGTAAGAAGAGGACAGGTTTTGAAGAGGTTCAAAAGCCAAACAGAGAAATTTATATTTGATCCTAGAAGTAAGAGGGAGCCATTTCAATTCATCCAGCAGGGGATTGACATGGTCAGACCTATAATTTAGGAATATCTCTTTGGCAGTGGGATGGTGGGATGGATTGAATCTTATACCTGGCCAGGTGTACTCTTCCATCCAGTGACTCTGGCCTCCTGGTCGTTCCATGAACACTACACTCCATCTCTCAGCTGTGGGCATTTTCTCTGGCGGTCTCCTTTGCCTAGAACGCTCTCACTCCTCTATTCTGATTACTGACCTCTTAGACTTCTTTTAATTCCCAACTAAAATCCCAACTTATAGAGGAAACCTTCCTTGACACCTCTTATTTCTAGTACCTTTTCTCTGTTAATTATTTCCAACTTATCCTGTATATAGTTTGTTTCTATATGTGTGTGTCTATACTTATATATTTGTTCACTTTTTTCTCTTCCATCAGTTGTGAGCTCTTTGGGGGCAGGGGCAGTCTTTTGCCTCTTTTTGTATCCCTAGCACTTAGCACAGTGCCTGGTACGTATTAGGTACTTAATAAGTATTGATTGATTGATTTAAGTGCTTATGGTGTGTCAGGTCCTCTGTTAAGTGCTGGGGATGCAAATGCAAAAGAGTCAGGTGCTTTCAGGTGCTTCCATACTAATAAAATTAGGGGAGACCATAGGAGGCTATTTCTTCCCTGATCTGATGGGGGCTACATAGACTTCTCTCAGAAGGGGATGAACATTATTGGCCTCGGGGAATTCCTAGGCTGACAGAGGGAACACTGTGGTTGGGGGAACTCTCATCTGATGGGAAAAAGTTAATTTCTTCTGGGGTCAGTGGGGGAGACGTAGCCATTACTCTCAGGGAGCTTCCTGTCTAAGAGCCTAAGAGACTTTGAGCCACTTACTTACACAGCAGGAAGGAAGGATGCCCAGAGCCTTGTTGAATATAAAAAAATAGTGGTATGCAATTGGTATAAGAGGGAGGCAGAGTTTTTTTTTTTTTTAGCTTTGTTTTAAAGGGTGGGAGGAATGTGGGTTGGTGAAGAGGAGAGGAGAAGAGAGAAGGAGAAGGAGACCTGTGTGGAAGACTATGCTCTACACTAGAGCTGGAGTACTTAACCTGAAGTCCATGGACAGATTTTCAAGGATCTTGGATGAAGAAAAAAAAAATCATCCTTATTTTCATGAACCTCTAACTGATATTTAGCATTTCCTTCAATTGTTTAAAAACATTAATCTAAGAAAGGCCCCCTAGGTTTCCCCAGGCTGCCAAAGAGGTCTATGATATATATTAAAAAGGTTAAGAACCCCTGGGATAGAGAGAGCTTTGGCAAGGCTTATATGAGTCCGTGTGGCTGGAGCAAAGCAAGAATAGGGTGGACTCTCAAACCCTACTATCTTGGGCCTTTCTGTTTTTCTCTTCCCTTCTTCCCCATCTTTCCCCACCTTTCTTTCCTTTCCTAACCTTGCTTCAGCACTGGGAAGGCGCTGGACCTACTGACAGGCACACCTTCGGCCTCCCGCAGCCTTGAGAAGCCCGACTCAGAGAATATTCCACCCAGCAAACACCACCCTCATCACCATCAGCCCCGAAACAACATCCCCAAACCAGAGCCAGAGTCCAAGACACGAGGGGAAGGAGATGGCCGAGGCTGTGAAAAGACAGAAAGGAAACTGGAGCAACCGGAAGTCAAGAAAGAACCATTGGTGAAAGCCAATGGTGTTCCGGCTGGACCAGAACCAGCATTAGAGCCAGGCAGCCCCTACCCGGAAGCCCCACGTGTGCCTCCTGGTGGGGAGCGAGGGACCCAACCCAATGGCTGGCAATATAGTTCACCCAGCAGGCCAGGGAGCACTGCTTTTCCGCCCCAGGACGGGGAGGGCATTGGGCATCGTCGGAACTTCCCACCTCGAACCAACCCAGACAAGATTGCTCAGCGCAAGAGCTCTATGAACCAGCTGCAGCAATGGGTGAACCTACGTCGGGGAGCACTACCACCTGAGGATCTTAGGAGGTGAGGCACGGCTGGAGTGGGAAGGCTTGGGGAAAGGGTTGGCAGGGTGCCCACTAGTGTCCTATTGGGAACAAAGTCGTGTTGTCAAGTAAAATAGGTTCATGGACCCACCAGCTCAGCCCAGACCTATTCCACTCTTACTTCCTTATCTTTGAAGTTTTCATTCCTATCCCTGGTGATCTCTCCCTAAGGGAGTGGCTCTGGGAACATCTTGGCTCTGCTAAACGTATTACCTATGTGACTTTTCCCCTGAACCTCATTTTCTTCATCTCTAACAAGGGAGGAAAGGGATTATGCTGGACATCTGACATCTGTGTTATACTAGGTACCCTTCCACCTCCAAATCTAGGCTTTTCTGATTCTGTTCTATAACCTGTATGACCCTGAGCAAGTCAAGTAGTTCCTCGTGGCCTCAGTTTCCTCATCTGTAAAACGAGAGATCTAGTTCTAAGTCTTTGCTCATCTGACCCTGCTCGGGACCATTTTCCTGGGCAGACCTAAGAGAAAGCAAGCAATGGTACCCTGAGCACCCGGGTGTTTGGCCCTTTGTCTGGCCTCTTGTAGGTCTGGATAACCTTCTCAGAGGAGGCTTCACACCCTGCCCAGAGATACTTCCATTCTAGTACCAGTCCTGGGATCTGCTTCGATTTATGCTGAGGTATAAATGAAAAATGTCTCATATGCCCTGGGGAGGCTGACTTTGCATTTAAAAAGAAGCCAGAAAGATGTAACTTGAAGAGCAGGATTTTAGGCAGCAATGAGCTGGTTGAAGACGTGAGTGGTATTGCTGTTCTGTGTGGGGGAAGGGTAGAGGGAAGGGAGAAGGTCCTTCCCTGGCTCCTGAAATAGGCTCATAGATTTGGAGCTAAGAGGAACCTTAGGGGCTGTCTAGTTGTACACCCTGATTTTACAGATGAGGAGACTGAGGCCCACATGGGTGGTAAACAGCAGAGCCATGGTTCAAACTCAGAACCTAATTCCAGATCCCATGCTCTTTATCATATGCCACTACATGCCGCTAACCCACCTATGTGTAAGGCCAGCACCAGATAGTCATTTACTCCCTGCTGTTGAGTATTTTGTTGGTTATACTATAAGGACAACTAGATGGTATAGTAGACAGAGTGCCAGAGTTGAAGTCAAGAAGAACTGAATTCAAATCCAGTTTCAAACATTTACTGGCTGTGACCCCGGGAAAGTGTCTTAACTTCTTTCTGACTTAGTTTCCTCATCTGTAAAATGGGGATAATAACAGCACCTCCCGACACCCTCCACAGGGTTGTTGTGAGGATGAAATGAGATAATACACGTGAAGTTTCTTGCAAATTTTAAAGAACTATACATGTGCTAGCTATTATTATTATTACTGTTCCTAACTTGGAGGATATGGAATGAGTAGAGGGAAGGAGGGATGGGGCAGTAGTGATGGAGGTAGAGAAACGCCCAGCAGTGTGATGTCATAGAGAAACTGATGGCCCAGGGCTAGAGGACTTGGATTTCTAGGCCCAGTGCCACTACTTATTGGCTTTGTGACTCTAGGGGAGTCATCTGAATTCTTCCAGCCTCAGTTTCCTCATCTGGATAGTGATGTGGTAAGACTAGATCAAAGAGTTCATAAGATCATGGTTTTAGAGTTGGAAAATACCTCAGAGATCAGTTACTCCCTTTTTTTGCTAATGGCACTGGCTCAATTATCATCTCTTCAAAGATGATAACACGCAAAAGCATCGTGTGCTTGCTAAGCTTCAAGCTCTGCGTCCTGGGGATATAAACAGAAAATTGAGATCGCCTCTCTGCTGACAGCTCACATTCTAATTGGAGAAGATCCCATATATAGGAGAGCGCAGTCACAGAGCAGATGGAAAGGCTCTGGGGTCTTTAGGGAACAGCAGGAGGGCAAATAACAATGCCACAAGGGTTTGGAGGGTACAGTAGCAGGACAAAGCGTACTTGGAGGTCCCCCATCTTTTCAGAAGAATGGTAGTTTCACTCCCTGCTATTGAAACAGTGTGAGCAGCCATATCTTCTACCAACCAGAAACCTGGAAGGGCCTAGGGTCACAACCAGTGGAAAGAGGAGATACTGGTGGGATCTAAGCTGGAGGCATTGGGAAAGGGCTCCCCACGCCCCCTGCTGATTTGGTCAGGTCTGACTTTGAGCTCCCAGGTGTGGATGGGTGGGGTTTGGGCTGGGGTGGTAGGCTTTGCCCTTCAGGGCCTGATGGTTACAGGTTTTGGATGGACACTAATGATTCCTCAAACTACATATCCAGCCTTAATCCTTCTCCTGAAATCTAGTCACATATCATTGCCCAGATGTCCCATAGATATATCAAGCTTAACTGAACTCATGATCTCCCCTGCCCCCAACTCATCCTTCCTCCAAACTTGCCTGCTTCAGTTGAGAACACCACTTCTAGTTACCTAGATTTGTAAGCTGGGAGCTATCCTTGAGCCTTTCTCTCCCTCACGTCTAATCAGTGTCTTGTCAACTTTGCAACCATAACATCTCTTGTCCTCTTCTCAAGACTCAGGACTACCAGCTTAGCTCAGGCCCTTGTCACCTCTTACCCAGACAATTACAGCAGCCTCTGAAATTGGTCTTCTGGCTTCTATTATCTCCTCTTCAATCCATCCTCCACCAAGCTGTCAAAGTCACCTTCCTAAAGCATAGGGATCATCTCAAAGACCACAGGCTTCTGTCAAAGCAAGGAGGGTTTTAGTTAGCACTAAGAGAGAACTTTCTGGCAGGGGAGTTGATGAATAAATACTAGAATTGGTCCCTGGGGAAGCTGTAGAAGAATAACTCATTTATATTGGTTTTATAAAAAGGTAGCTATAGTGGCTAGGTAGTGCAGTGGATAAAGTGCTGGGTCTGGACTCAGGAAGACTAATCTTTTTTTTTGTGGAAGCAACAAGCATTTATTAAGCACTCCCCATGTGCCAGGCACTGTGCTAAGAGCATAGTGAGGCAGTATGGCATATCAGAGTGCTGGATTTGGCCCCAGAGAATTTCTCCCAGCTCTACCTCTTTTTTTTTTTTTGACAAGAAACACATTTTATTAATTTATTTTAATTTATCAACAATCACTTCCATAAGCTTTTGAGTTTTAAATTTTTCTCCCCCTCTCTCCCTACCTCCTTCCCCAAGATGGCGCAAAATCTAATATAGGCTATACATATACATTCCTATTACACATATTTTCACATTAGTGATGTTGTAAGTAAGAATTAGAACTAGTAGGAGGAACCACCAGAAAGAGGAAACAAAACACAACAGAAGAAAAAAGACAGCAAATAGTATGCTTTGATCTGCATTCAAACTCCACAGTTCTTTCTTTGGATGTGGATAGCATTTTCCATCATGAGACTTTTGGAAATGTCTTAAATTCTTGTGTTGCTGATGGGGGTTAAGTCTATCAAAGTCAGTCATCACTCAATGTGGCTGTTATTGTGTACAACATTCTCCTGGTTCTGCTCACTTCACTCAGCATCAAACCATACAAGTCTTTCCAGGTTTATCTGAAGTCTGTCTGTTCATCATTTCTTACAGCACAATAGTATTCCATTACATTCATATATCACATTCACAATTATGATTACTATCTGTGTCTTTCTCTCCATCCTTTTCCCCCCCCTGTTTATGCTTTTCTTTCTCCTTTCTCCTTTTCCCTTCAGGAAGACTAATCTTCATGAGTTCAAATCTGGCCTCAGACACTTACTAGCTGTGTGACCCTGGGCAAGTCACTTAACCCTGTTTGCCTCAGTTTCCTCATCTGTAAAATGAGCTGGAGAAGGAAATGGCAAATCCTTCCAGTATCTTTGCCAAGAAAACCCCAAATGGGGTCATGAAGAGTTAGACTCTACTGAAAATGATTCAACAACAGCTGTAGTGTAGGGGACAGAAAGCTGGCCATGAATTCAGGAATATTCCTAACCCTACTTTTGATACATGTTAGCTGCATAACTCTGGCCAAATCATTGACTGTTTCAGTGACCAGGCAACGCTCAGACTGTGGGTTGTAGAGCAGGTGCTGATTGAATTGGAGGAGAGAGGTTCCTCATTGGGAATTCCCTATACAGATGAAATCATAGGTTCAGTATGAAAGAAAATGTATCCTGAGCTTTTCTGTTAGCATAGTCCTTTTCTTACAACAATTCTGCATGATAGAGAGGTAGGACAAGGGATTTTATCGCCATTTTACAACTGAGGAAATTGAGGACCCCACCCCAGGTTATACAACTCATGTCAGATTCAGGATTTGAACCCTGGTCTCTCTTGAGACCTCTCTAAGACCAGCTATCTTTCCACTCTATCACTCTTAATCTATACGTATGTAATAATATGCATATGTGAAGACATTATTAACCTATTCTATAAAAAAGATATTTACTTATTTATGGATTTGAAGACTCTTGACTTAGAATAACTTGGTGGACCCGTGGGGCTCAGTGGCTCACAGGTTGAGAACTCGTGGATAGGATGATCCCTAACATCTCTTTCAACATCATCAAGTTATGGATTTGTGATTCTATCCCCTCTCTTTTTTTTCTCAGCCCCTCCAGGTTCTACCCTGTGTCTCGTCGAGTCCCTGACTATTACGGCTCTTACTCCCCCCAGTACCCAGATGATTACCAGTACTACCCCCCCGGGGTGCGCCCAGACAGTATCTGCTCGATGCCAGCCTATGATCGGATCAGCCCACCCTGGACCTTGGAGGAGAAGCGCCACTCCTTTCGAAATGGGGGCAGCACTGCCTACCAGCTCCGGGAGTGGAAGGAACCTCCTGGCTATGGGCGTCAGGACGGCACTGTCTGGATCCCCAGCCCTGCCCGGCAGCCCGTCTACTATGATGAACTGGACGCTGCCTCGGGTTCCCTTCGCCGCCTCTCTCTGCAGCCTCGTTCCCACTCCGTGCCCCGGTCACCTAGTCAGGGATCTTACAGCCGGGCTCGTGTTTACTCCCCTGCTCGGTCACCGAGTGCCCGCTTTGAGAGACTGCCGCCACGAAGTGAGGACATCTATGCAGACCCTGCTGCCTATGTGATGAGGAGATCTGTCAGCTCCCCCAAGGTGAGCCTCCTTAATTCCAGTCCTGCCCTTTGGCTCACCCCCAAAGGCTCTAAGGAGGACCTCTAGGGAAGACACAGGAGGAATGAAGGGGGGAGGGGATCTGTGAAGACACTCGTAGGGTAGGACAGCATGGTGAAATAGTCAGAAGGTTCCAGTTTTCACGCCGGCTCTTCTTTTCATTAACCTTCTGACTCTGGGTCAGCCACTTCTTTTCCCTAGGCCTTACCCTTCTCAGTCATAAAAATGAGGGGACTGGATCAGATCATCTCCGAGCCCTCTTCCAGTTTTTTCTGTCTATGATACACTAAGCCAGCATAACAGGGGAAGTGGCTTTCTACCATCCCATCAACCTCAGTCCCTAACCCCAAGGAGCTTACAATTTAATGAACAGAGGGACTGAGGTTGATGGGATGGTAGAAAGCCACTTCCCCTGTTATGCTGGCTTAGTGTATCATAGACAGAAAAAACTGGAAGAGGGCTCGGAGATGATCTGATCCAGTCCCCTCATTTTTATGACTGAGAAGGGTAAGGCCTAGGGAAAAGAAGTGGCTTTCTACCATCCCATCAACCTCAGTCCCTCTGTTCATTAAATTGTAAGCTCCTTGGGGTTAGGGACTGTCTTTTGCTTCTTTTACATCCCCAACATTTAGTCCAGTGCCTGGCACAGAGTCGGTGCTTAATAAATGTTTATTGATTGATTGTTCGTCAGTAGGGACCTTGCCTTTTGTGGCTGTCCATTTACTGTGCTGGAAACCACGTTCTCTTAGGTCTGTACGTATGGGAAGGGAGAGAAGGAGCTGCTCATTCTTTCAAGACTCGATCCCCATTGTCAGGGAGGGAGCAGCCGGTGTCCCCTTCTGCATGGGCTCTGCTCTTGGAGGGAATGGGGAGGATGTCCTCAGTTAGACATATTGCTGAGGGAGTCTACTTCATGACGACCTCACCGCCTCACCTGCTTTGTCTTCCAGTATGATTACCTGGGTGACCGGCGGCCTGTCCCTGCAGGGATATTCCCTTACAACTATCCACCATCTCCCACTGTCCACGACAAAATGGTATGTTCCTCACTCCCACCATACCCTTCTCAGGATCTCCTACCTGCCCCCAACCTTGAAGGATGAGTTGGGACAGTGCTCAGACATGCCTTGGGCCTGATGCTGGACTCATTTGTCTCTTAGAAAGTAGCCATAGGACATCATCTCTGCTCACCTTCTCATCTGAGCCTGACATCAATTAGCACAGAGGACCCACTCTGCCCCTGTACCCTTCTCTGGATCCTTGGATGAATGAGCAAGGGAAAAATCTGAAGGAATTTTGAATTCCAGGCATCTTACCATGACTGATAGCTCCTCTCCAGGATATGGGAGAGGGGGGCATAGACTGGAGACACTGGTGATGGGGGGGAGACAGGAAGGTCATTCCCAGGGCCACGGCTGGGCTGGCCCCGGGCAAAGGGAACGAGTGGTGCCCTGTCAAGATTGCAGAGCTGCAATCTTCCCTCAGCTCCTCCCTGAAGTATATCCCTAGGACTTATCTGCTCCAGAAATGTCCACTGTTTTCTAATGCCATTCTAGGGGACATTAACTAAGGGAGGCGCTTTAGGGGCATAGCAGACAGGGGAGCCTCCCTCATATGAATCTCCCTCCCAATCTCTTTATTGCTCCCTCCTCATCCCACTTCTGTCTCTTCCTGGAATGTTCTCTCCTGAGGCTTCCAGTTGCCTATCCAGGAGAACAGATGTTTTACCTAAAGGAACAGCTTTGCCACTGTGTGACAGCTGGGTGACCTTCCTTGAGTCACTTCACTCTTGTGGACTTCAGTGTCCTCACCTGTGAAGTGACAAGGTTGGATTCTTTAGATTTCTGCCTTAGCTTTTAGCTCTAGCACCCTTTGTGATATCAGAAAGAGTCCCTTCCCCAGATCTCCCAGGAACCCAGCTCTGAGCCCACTCCCACAAAGAGGAGCCCTGGAAGATGGTAGCAGCAGAACTCACAGGCTGCAGGTGAGGGCAATAGGTTCCACTCAGTTGGTTCTTTATCCTCCTGCTTCCTGCCACAGACCCAACTTAATATTCCAGGATCCTCCTGCTGTCCTGGTTCCCAGACTCACTTCCCTTCCACTCCCAGCTGAGACCCAGAAGACTCCAGGAGCAGTGGGGAGAGGGTTGTTTGCTCAGAATCAGAGCAGCCTGGGCATCCCCTAGGCGAGGGGCAGTCTGGGTAGTCCTGACTCGGGGGAGATGGGCAGGAGGGCATTGTTGGAGGGACAACTGCCTTTCTAGTGGGGAGTGTTCTACGGAGAACTGCTGGAGAAACAAATCCAAACTCCCTCTAAGCATCCTCATCTTTTCCTACCCACGCTGGCAGTCCCCTCTCTGGGATCCCTCAGGACCTAGAGAGGCTAGTCTTCCTTGCCCAACTAACACCTAACTGCTTTGCTTCTTCTTTTTTGTTGTTGTTTTTTGTCCTGTTCCTGTTTGTTTGTGTTGCTGGTGGGGGGCCTCTTGGCCTCTTGGTAGGACGAACTTTTAGATCTTCACTTGCAAAGAAACCTAGAGTATTTGGATCAGCAGGTAGGCCAGAGCTGGTGCGTCCCTCTCCATCCTGATCCATCCTGTTTCCTCTCCTGGCCCCACCTCACCCTGCGCTGTCCTCTGCCCCGCCCACCCACCCCATCCCCCATCCCTCATCCCTCATCCACCACCCTCCATTTTATAATCTTTGTTGGCATGCCCAGGATACAACAAAGTGGCTGGTCTTTTTTATTTTGTTTGTTTGCTCCTACGCCCTTCCTCTTCAGAGCCCTTTAGGGCTGGGGGTGGTGAGGAAGAGAGAGAACCATAAAGGATAACATGAATAATGAATACCACCTCCTGTTTTATAACACCCAGCCCTAGACTAACCCCAGAAGGCAGATGGGAATTTGTATTTTTCCAGGAGTAGAGAAGGGAGCAGCTGTGGCCTGAGCCTTTGCAGAGACAGCCTCAGACCTAGGCATGTGCCCAGTCTGCCCTAGGGATATTCGTTCCTCCGTGTCCAGCCCTGTGGGTAAGACAGAGTAGCAGTGACAGCAGATTTCCTCTCCCTATTGTCCAGAGAGGGTCAGCTCTGCAATTTCCTTTCTGTTATGCCTCAGCTAGATTTTCAAAAAGCATTTGTGCTTATCTATAGCTGATCTTACCAAATTGGAAAGGTCTAGAGAAAGGAGACCAGCCTGGTTAAGTTCACTGCACAGTACTGGCCACTGGACAATGAATGCCTTTGACTACAGCAACTCATAAAGGCCATCTGCTAAGGTTTGTGGAGCTCAAGTCCATATCGGTGGAGGGTGTGACTTAAATCACACTGACTTAAATCTCAGGTCTTTAAAACATTCCAGGAAGGGCGAACTCTATAATATGTCAACTGAGGCCCAGAGAAATTAAGCATCTTGTTTAAGGCAAGTTTGGCAGAAGTAGGTTTGAGACTCAAGGGTCCTGACGCCCAAGGTGCCTCCCTGCCTCTTGTGGCTGAGAAGGTCATGAGACCTACTCTCCTTGTCTTTAGCTCAATTTAACAAGTATTGATGGAACATCTTATCCAGCCAAGCATTCCTTGAGGTCCTTCCTGGTTTGGAGATGGACTTCTTTTCTGGAAACCTATGCCAGAGGCAGGCAAGCCCTGGTAGGTCCTTCTAGAGATACGTCAATTTGCTTAATCTCTCTGCTCAGCACTGACTCAGCACAGCTTGTCAAAGACAGGCCTAACTAAGTTCAGAAAGGGGCATCCCTAGAAGGGATAGCAACTCAAGAAGACTATCTACAAAGTTGAAACTGATGCTGCTGTTCAGTTGTTTTTCAGTCGCGTCCGACTCTTGCTGACCCCAGTTGGGTTTTCTCAGCAAAGATAGTGGAGTGGTTTGCCATTTCCTTCTCCAGCTCATTTTACAGATGAGCAAACTCAGGCAAACAGGGTAAAGTGACTTGCCCAAGGTCACACAGCTAATAAGTGTCTGAGGCTGGATTTGAACTCAGGTCTTCCTGACTCCAGTTCCAGCACTCTATTTGCTATACCACCTAACTGCCCTTACAGAGTTGAAAAGGGGTTGTCAAATCAATAAGCATTTATTAAGTGCCTACGATGTGCCAAGCATTGTGCTAAGCACTAGGAATGAACAGATGAATGAAAACTGTCCCTTCCCTGAATAAGCTTAAATTCTAATGGGGGGGGCAACATGAAAACAACTATGTACAAACAAGATATAGACAGAATAAATTGGAGATCATCTCAGAGGGAAGGCACCAGCATTAAGGGGGGATCAGGTAAATTTGCTTGAAGAAGGTGGGATTTTAGTTAAGATTTAAAGGGTTTCACCTGAGACTTGAAGGCTTGTGAGCTGGTTGATGGAGGAAGTTCCTCCACCAATGAAATCGCAGAACCCTCACATATTGATGTGCATCTGCTCTGTGCCCCTCGTGGGCTCAGGCACTCTGGGAATAACGAAGGACCCAGAAGACTTCGTCCTTGCTCCTCAGGAGCTCACATTCCTATATCCACATCAGTGAAAGGAGCTGGGCCATGGCCAAATCATTTCCTCTTTCCTGGCTTGTTTCCTTATTTGCAAACTATACATCAGTGGTTTTCAAATTGTTTGGTCTCAGGACCCCTTTATACTCTTTTTCTTTTTCTTTTGTTTTTTTGGTGAAGCAATTGGGGTTAAGTGACTTGTTCAGGGTCACATAGCCAGCCCCTTTATACTCTTAAAAATTATCAAATACCCCCTTCTCCCAAAGAGCTTTTGTTTGTCTGGGTTATGTTTTGATATTTACTGTATTAGAAATTAAAACACCTTAGTGTTATTATGAAAATAATTTTGTCCTTGTGGACACCCTCAAAGAGTCTAGGGTAGGTAGGTTCCCAGACCATACTTTGATTATAACTAGACTAAAGAGATTTCTCTAAGTACTTTCCCAGCTCCAAATCTTTGAATCCCTTAGATAGAATCCCCCAGTCTCCATTCTGATTCCAGCCCCAGAATGCTAAACCTGCATGGGATTCTGTAAGGGCAGAGCATTAGCCCCACTCCTGACCCCAGGTCCTTCTAACATGTGACAACTGGGCTTCTCTCTCCTCTGGCCCTATCCTTTCAGAACCCAGCAAGAGGAGAGTTATGTCCCTTCCTGTAGCACTTCCTGCCCTCGGACAAAGGCTATTCCATCAACCTAGATGCTTCTCAGAAACCGACTTTTCACATGGCTGCCCTGCAGATGAGATAATTGCTTAGAATAATGCTTTACATTCATTGGTATTTCCCAAACTCCATCAGTTAACAAGTATGTTTGGAGCACTTACTATATTTACAAGGCACTGTGTTAGCTAGGATCTTTTAGCAGAGATGTAATGGGGGAAATACTGAGTCAGGGATTGGAAGACCCGGATTCCGATCCTGGCTCGCCACTGCGAAAGTCTCATAAGCTCTCTGGGCCTCAGTTTCCTCATCTGTAAAATAAGGAGCTTGGCCCAGATGACTCCTGATGTTTCTTCTGGGTCTGAATCTCATGATCTCTTTTCTTGCCTCATTTGCCCCTTATATCATCCCTAGAAGAGAGGGAGAGCCAAAGAGGTTCTTACCCCTTAGGAGGGGGAAACAGATACGAAGAGCCTGTGAATTGTCTAATATCATACACAGTGAGTCTGGGCCAGAACTCCTTAGTCTCTTGATGCCCATTCCTAAATCAGCCTTTCTCCTTCAGCTCCAACCCCTTCCTCCCCTGAGGTCAGCCAGAAAGAGAAGTGAGATCAACAGATGCCTGGAAGCACATATACTGGGTGTCTCTGAAGGTACTTTTTGCCACTGAGAGGAGATGGCAGCTTTCCTCCCCTCCTTCCCCTTTCCATCTTTCCCTTGTTCACATATCTATATGTGTACACACAGTGCCTGGCACATTGTAGGTGCTTAATAGAAATCTGTTGATTTATTACTTCATCCAGCTGGGAGAGAAGGGTCAGAAAATCTTTATCCCAGTTGAACTGAAGCATTGACAGGAGGGTTAGCTAGGTGGCCCAGTGGATAGAGTGCTAGGCCTGGACCCAGGAAGACTCATTTTCATGGGTTCAAATCTGGCCTGAGGCACTTACTAGCTGGGTTACCCTGGGCAAGTCACTCAACCCTTTTTGCCTTAGTTTCCTCATCTGTAAAATGAACTGGAGAAGGAAGTGGCAAACCACTCCAGTATCTTTGCCAAGAAAACTCCAAATGAGGTCATGAATCATCAGACACTGCTGAAAAATGTTAAACAACATCACCCTCACTTACTTCTCCCACATTTCCACAAACACATCTGGCCAGGAGAGGTGAGGGGCAGAGTTGAGTGAAAGGCCTTATATGAGGTAAGTCAATGTGGCCATTAGCACAGTCTTGGAGAAGAAAAGGAAGTTCCAGGGCTAATGGTTTTTAAGACTAGTGCAAACATTTGTCTTTGCATTTCTGCTTGCTCAGCTGAAAGGCAGCTACAACTCCTCCAGACACTGGAATGGGAACTGATAGCCACATGTGTGTTTGGGTAGAGCTAAAGGGTGTGTGAAGAGGAGGCATAAATCTCTTAAATAAGAAGACTTCTCCATGACTACAGTCCCACCACCAGCCCTAGCTATGTGATTCCATGGAAAGAACACTGTATTTGGAGTCAGGACCTGGGCTCAAAGCCCAGCTTGGCCACCAACTAGTTGTGTGACCTTGGGAAAACCTCTTCACCTGCTTCTCCTTACCCGTCTACCTCCTAGCCGCCTCTCCGACCTGCTCCCCTCTTCCCCTCCCTACAAAGCTCCTCTGTCTTTTGCTCTCTTCTCCTTTGGAATGATTGAGTTAAAGGGACACAGTCAAAGACATTTCCTACCCTATTGGTTGTCTGATGTTCCTGCTCTGAAAACAGGCAGAGGGCATCCATGTGCTTTTCTTACCATTAAAAAAAAATTTGGCATTTCCCCCTTTTGTGTCCCTAATGCCCCTTGAAATTTAGAGATCTAGTAGGTTAAAAAAAAAAATCAGAGTCCTGCCTACAGTTTCTTCTTCATAGCAACAGAATGCCATTTAATTGCAGACTCATTTCCCAATCCTGTTCCGTGTTATTTTGTGTCTCCTCACACTTAGCCATGACACGGCGGGCCAGACAGGATGACGCTCCAAGGCCCAGAGCCGCATTCTCATCAGCCTCTGTTGTCCCTTTAACATAGCTTGCTTGTTTGTTCTGCAGCTTCATCCAAGCTTTCCCTGGATGCAACAGTAACGGCCCAGCTCTGGAAACTGATTAGCAATGTCCTTTTACTGTAGAGTCAGCGGAGGTGGGGTGGGATCTCGAAAGAAAGCTCCGGGCACCAGTTTGCGGAAGGTCCACCTGTCTGTCCAGCGGGGCTATGGTTTATGGCTTTTCCCTTTTTTGGTTTAGTTCAAGATTTCAGGAGAGCAGCCGTTTGGGCAGCGAGCCTGAAGGGATTTGGCCAGATCAGGCCTCTCTTACCTTGCAGAATGCCTACTTGTATTCTTTGAACTGAGCAACTTGCCGAGCTGGAGGAACAGGAACGGGGAAGGGAATGTGGCTTTGGTTAATCTCACTGGGGCCCCTGAAGAGTGGCAGACTGGCAAAGATGTTTGTGGGGTGGGCTTTTTGTTGTTCGCTTGTTTGTTTGTTTAAACCTTGTCTGCACTTCCTCATAGCCCCTGTTGTAGGGGGTAGCTGTGATGTATCTCTTGAGGTGAATTTCAGGAAGAGAAAACACAAAGAGAAGGGAAACATAGGTGAACCCCACCAGGGGGTGTCTAGATGCCCAGAGAGAAAGCTGACAGCTTGCCACTTTTCCCTTTTCCTAAACCAAGCCTAAGGTCACATCAAGTGGCATAGGTTGGGAAACCTGGCAACAAGAACTCTGTGTGTGTGTGTGTGTGTGTGTGTGTGTGTGTGTGTGTGTGTGTATGTGTGTGGTTATGTATGTATGCTTGTGTGCTTGTCTGTCTGAACTGTCCCTTCCTCCCTTTGCTGCAGATGAATGAGAGTGAGACTCTCATCAGTATGGTGAACCGAATGGTGGAAAATTCTTCCCCCAGGGCCCAGCTATTCATGCAAGTAAGACCCCTGCCTAGCAGCATTCACTGCTAATGTCATTTCAGCTGCTTGTGCATGGCAGAACCAACCCATCCAGGAGAAGGGCCCTGTCTGCCCCATGCTCCCATCTACCAAACGTCATCTCCATTGAAATGTGCTCTGCCCTGCTTTCCTTTCTCAACATTATCATGGCTCTGGTGCTCTTCACTTCCATGGGGAACATCAAAGCCCATTTGCCACTCCATCAAAGCCATCCATGCAGCACCTGGCCAATGCCAACATCTCATGCTGCCCTGGGATCATCAGGCCTCTGGGGGTGGGTAGGCATCGTGTTTCATTGCCCAGAACTTGTGTTTTGAAAAATCTGCTCCCTTCTTGACAGGAGCAGATTGGGCTAAGGGTTTGGATAGGACTGTTTGGAGCCATCCCAATGCCAGGAACCTAGGGGAATGATATGGCCTTCTCACCAGGTGGGACTGACTTCCTAGCCACAGAATCCCTTCTGAGCTCTTGTCACTTCTGGGTGTAGGCTGAGCTCTGTCTGGTTCTCTGTCTAGTAGAGTCGGCTCTCGAACATTTTCATCCTACGTTGCTACCATTACTCACCGCAACAGAAGCACCCCCTTCCCCAAACAGTCAGCTTTCAGTCCCTGCTGCCACCCAAGTGAGTCATACAAAGTCATGCCACTCTGAATTCCCTCCATCTCAGCACTGCAGCAGACCTCAAAAGGTGGGGGCAGGGATTACAGGGGGAGGGGCTGAGAGGTGAGTGTGATTAGCATCTCCAAGTCATCCCCAAAATTCACCTGACTTCAGAGAACAAGAGGCAGGGGTGTCCCATCTCAGGGATGGAGACTGAGGTACAGAGCGAGATATCTATCCCAAGTCCTTCAGCCGGTAGAACAGAGCACTGTTCCAGTCCAGATTTTGGAGCCAAAGGCAAAGGTGCTGATGCAAGTTGGCCTTGAACAACAGCTGGATGAAAGCTGGGAGGTCAGCATCCTCACCACCTCCAGCCTTATCATCGCTGCCACAGTAACCGACTTTCTCTCCAACAGGTTCCTTCTTACCCAGAGGTGTTCCGGGATGGCGTCCATACCTTCAAGTTCAATGAGCAAGATACCGATGTAAGAGCAGCTCTCCCTGCCTCCTCTGTCCACTCCAGGCTCTTCCTGCTGTCGTCCCTCATCTGCCCTCTCCATCCATCTCTCTTGCCATTGATTTTCCATCCATTTGACTCACGCCATTTGTCGCAGACACAGCCCACCCAACTTTCTCACCTCATCTAACCCAACTGCTCACTTTTTCTTCCTTTCTTTCTATTCTTATTTGTGTATACACCTCTCTCGGGCTTAGATCCCATCACTGAGTCTTACACAGGTGGAAGAGAGGGTTATCCTTAGGTCCATGGCTCTTCCCTGACTGTGAAAGATAGGATTTGTGGAGGCAGGAGAGGGGAGAGGAGAAATCAATTAGCCAAGATTTGTTGGTCACTTACTCTGTGGTTCCTGCTTTCAAAGAGCTTGTAGTCTTCAAGGGAGGCAGTGTGGTTCAGTGGAAAGAGCATTGACTCTGAAGCCAGAGGACCTGAGTTTAAACCTTTGATGTTTACTACCTGTGTGACCTCAGATGATGAGTCAGTTAACTTCCCAGCACCTCACTTTCCTCATTTATAGCTTGAGAGTGATAGACTAGGTGGAAATGAGAGGCTTTGACTAGATGGCCTCCAGAGCTAGAACTCTGACCCTAGCTGGGAAGACAATACTGCATATGTGGAAAGCTAAATTAGCCTCTAATACAAGAGGCAGCTAGTGATGCAATGACTTGGAGTCAGGAAAATCCGAGTTCTAATCCTGCTTCAGGTGCTTCCTAGCTGTGTGACCCTGGACAAGTCATTTAATCTCTATCTACCTCAGTTTGTTCATCCGTAAATTCAGCATAACAACATCTATTTTGCGGGGTTGTTGTGAGGATCAAATAATATATTTTTTTAAGTATTTAGCACAGTGCCTGGCACATTTTTGTTGCTGTTTAGTCGTTTCAATTGTGCCTGGCTCTTCGTGATCCCATTTGGGGTTTTCTCAGCAAAGATATTACAGTGGTTTGCCAGCTTATTTTACAACTGAGGAAATTGAGGCAAACAGAGTTAAGTGACTTGCCCAGGGTCATACTGTTAGTAACTGTCTGAGGCCAGATTTGAGCTCAGGAAGATGAGTCTTCCTGACTCCGGGCCTGGTATTCTGTCCACTGCACCACCTAGCTGCCTATGCCTGACGCATAGTAGGTACTTCCCTTTCCTTTCCCTTCTCAGTATGTAGTAAATGCCAAATGAAGAGCATTTAAGAGCCCTACAAGGTCACAAGAAGGACAGAGAGGTATGAGCTGGAGTGGTCAGAGGCCTCATGGAAGAAATAGGACCTGAGGGGCAGCTAGGTGGTGCAGTGGATAGAGCACTGGCCCTGAAGTCAGGAGGACCTGAGTTCAAATCCGGCCTCAGACCAAACACTTGACACGTACTAGCTGTGTGACCCTGGGCGAGTCACTTAGCCCCAGTTGCCTAAAAAAAAAAAAAAAATAGGAGCTGAGCTGGACCCCAAACAATGGGTAGGATTTAAATAAGAAAGAAGCAAGGGGGATGTTTTGGTGTGACAGCAGGACCACCTTTAGTCGAATATGCCTCAATAAATTCCCCTTCCCCCACATCACTGGCAGCCTACTTACCAGTGACTGCCTTCAGCTGCCATTAAAATGAGGAGAGAGACTGTAGGGGAGTTGGCCTGGGCTGGGGGGCCTAGAGGCCCCAGGGTATAGCATCATGGGTAAGACTTGAAGTCAGGAGACCTGGGTTTGAATCCTGCTGTTGATAATTCTTTAGAGGATTATGAGGAAAGTTCTTCAAAAACCTTAAAGTCCTATAGGAATGTGAGTTATCCTTGGAAGAAAGGGGAGAGCCAAGTCTAAATTTAGTGGCCCCTTCACTGTGTTGTAATTCCAAAAGATCCTAGGTCTCAGTAATTGTAATCTCTTTGGTTTATCAAATATAATCATTTGATTACAATCATGTGAAGGAAGTAGTGAAGTCTAGACCTAAACATTTATTAATTAGGGGGAATTCCTGGTATAGAAACCTCCCTCTGCCAACAGAGATTAGCAACTCCTCTGTAACAAGAGTTGTACCGGGGCATCGAGAGGGTGGGTGATTTGTCCTTGGCCACACAGTTAATGTGTGGCAGAGAGAGAACCTCAACTCAAGCCTTCTTGACTCCCAGCCTAGCCCTCTATGTTCTCCACTATGCTACCCCTCTGCTGCAAGTGCTATTCCATTTTACAGATGAAGAAACTGGGGATCAGAGAAGTTAAGGAAGTGGTCCAGGATCACAAAGCTAGTAAGAGGCAGAACTAGACCTCAAACCCAAGTCTTCTAGTTCCTGTTCCAGTGCTCTTTCCACTATGCCACTCACTTCAAATTGAGCACCAAGGCATAGTAGAAGGCATTGCTGGGCACAATAAAGTCTCAGTTCCTTGGTTGTTAGGTGACTCACTCAAGGAACATGTTTGTGCCCCCTTTCCCAATGGGATCTTGGGTGGGGTCCCTTCCAGAGTGAAGGGCCCATCCTTCTATTTCCCTGTTGCGTAGGTAATGATAGAGTCCATAGAGTTTTAGAAAGTCCAGCACACTGGGGGACATGGTGGGTCTCAGCAGGATGGTAGTATCTGGTGAAGGAGCCCAGTCAACTCTGCTCCCCAGATCCCATGATTTAAATTGCTCATCTTCCTTTTCTTCTCTCTGTCTTTTTTCTCTGGACCTCAGAAACTTCTGGGTAAACTATGTGAGCAGAACAAGGTGGTGAGAGAGCAGGACCGGCTTGTGCAGCAGCTCCGGGCAGAGAAGGTGAGGGTCCTGACGGTGTCCCAAGATCGATGGAATGGGCCAGAGAGATGGTTTGCCATCTCCATCCATCCATAATAGAGGAATTAATGTTTCTATTATACCTTTAACTGAGCGCTCATCCCCACTGGCCTGGGGAAAACAGGGCGAGTCAAAGCTTTCCTTGAGTAAGCTGGTCAAATCCCTGTCATGGCACCGGCCTCATTGTCCTATGGGAGGGATCCAACACTTCTCATCATCACCCTTCCTCTCCCCATCCACAGGAGAGCCTGGAGAGTGCTCTGATGGGCACCCACCAGGAGATGGAGATGTTTGGGAGCCAGCCCACCTATCCTGAGAAGCTGCTGCATAAAAAGGAATCCTTGCAGAACCAGCTGATCAACATTCGGGTCGAGTTGTCCCAGGCCACTACGGTAACTGGGGGAGGGGAGGAGCGGTTCTCCCCATCGGTTCCCAGAAATTCAGCCTTTCAGCAAACCTACCTGTCCCTGGAGGGGAGTGATGAACAGGGCATCCCCTTCTGGCCTGTGGTAGACGGTAGTCTTGTAAATAAATAACAGGCATATAGCTTATGGACAGTAAAATAGATGAAATTATCCCCTTTGCCACTAACCAGGTAGACTTTGGGACTCATCCTGAGGTGGAATGGGGTTGGACAAGATGAGTGCTGAGGTTACCCCCCTTCTCCCACGTTGGATGGTTCCATGACTCCAGGGAGTGAAACCTCCTCCTGGCTGGGGCACAATTTACTAACAGGCCCTCCTCTTTGTTGCCTTCTCCCTGCCTAGTTTCTTTGCTTTCTAGCCAACTGGAATGAGCAGGCCTGGGGAGGGGGAGGGCACAGAATTAACCTCTTCCTGCCCACCCATGTGCTTGGGCTGAAAGAGAGTTTTAATTTCTTTTTACTTTTAAGCCCTTATTTCCAACTAATATCTAAGGAGTGATTTCTGGTTCTATTGCTAGAGGATGTATATAAGGGGGTTGGGGGAGGGAAAGGAGAAAGGACTCTCCTACCACCTGCCATGATTTAACCAACACTAGGGTTTATGTTTCTTGGGCCCATTTCCTTTTTGCTCTCCGTGTGCCTCCAAGGACTTTCCATGCCCAAAGTGGGCATCCCAGCACCCCCTAGCTTCTCATTTTCACCTCCACCTCTGGACTACCTGGCTCCTGCTTCCCAGGACTCGGGGGAAGGGGGAACTTCATGGTGATGAGACTTTCTCAGCTATCCTCTCCTCCCCACTTGCTACAGGCTTTGACTAACAGCACGATAGAGTATGAAACTCTAGAGGGGGAGGTCTCTGCCCTGCATGATGACCTTTGGGAGCAGCTCAACTTGGACATCCAGGTGAGCAGGGCCCTAGGATAGGTGGGGGGGAAGGGAGGAGGTCTGGCCAGGCCCTCTTCAATCCACGGTAAAAGAGACTTTGTCAGATTTCTCATTTGCCTTAAAGCCCAGGAGGTTAAAGGAAGAGGAAACTTTCTGAGGCAAAGAGAGAAGGCTGAGGGGCAAGATTCTAGTAGGCTTCAAGTCTGGATGGCCCTTAAAGATGACCAGATCTCCATTTCAACAGAGAATAGAGGATGAGAGGCAGGCATTCAGGTTAGAGATAAGACTTCCGGATGCAAGGTTTTTAAAACCTAGGAAAGTAATGGAAGGAACTGTGAAACCTTTCTTGAAGAATTTAAGAACAGAAGAAACATTTATCTGTTTGGTTTCTTTGTAGGCTAGCCTGGAGGCCGGGGGATGAATACCTCTGGCATCTGGTTGCTTTGCAGCACTGTCTGTCTTGCACGAAGGCCTACCTTGTCCTTAGCTAGCTTTGCAAACCATATCTCACCCTCTAACAAACTCTGCCACTCCTCTCCATCTCTCTCTGCTTCCCTGTGGTTCCCCGGGTCCTAATATCCACTCCTACTATGGAGCTGGTTAATTAGGGAGTCAGTGAGTCATGACCTCCTCAGAAGAGCAGGCCTAGAATGCCATAGTGAAGTACACCATAAACACTGAAAATAAAAAATAAAAACCAACCCGCAAACCACCGCTGCATCTCATTCGTGAGCTATTTAAACACTAGCCCTATAGTCTGGGTTAACTCTTCAGTAGGAAGGCAGTGTGGCAGAGGGGGAGGAGCCCTCCACTTGGAGGGAGGAGGACCCGTGATTCGTTCCTGCTCCCGATTCTTAGGAACTTTATCACCCTGAAAGCGAAATGCTGGGTCTCAGATTCTTCATCCGGGCTTAAGCACACTGGCACTACCTACGTCATAGGGCTGTTATGAGAAAAACCTTTTATAAACCTTAAAGCACTATATAAATATAAATTATTAGATTAGATTAGAAGCAGCTGGTAGTACAGTAGATAGAGTGCTGAACCTCAAGTCAAGAAGACCTGAGTTCAAATGTGGCTTTAAACACTTGCAGTTGACCTTGGGCAAGTCACTTAACCTCTGTCTACCTCAGTTTTCCCATCTGTAAAATAAGGATACTAAACATACTCACTTCCCAGGGTTGTGAGGATCAAATGAGATAGTATTTGTAAAGCACTTTACAAACCCTTAAGCACTGAATAAATGCTAACTCTTACTATGAACACTAAAAAAAGTATGCCTGTAATCTCCCAGGATTATTGTAAATATAGGGCTAGAGAAATGTGATCTGCTATTATTATAAGAGGGGAATGTGGGGGAATACAGTGAACTGGAGGTGAGGTCTGAATATTACTCCTGTGGGATTCACTGGCTTACAGACAGGGTGGCATTATGGGAATGGCACTAGATCTGGGGGTCAGAAATCTGGGTTTTAATCTAGGGTCTGTCACTAAGCTAGAAGACCCTGGGTAAGTCATTTCATTTCTTGTGTCTCAGTTTCCTAATTTTAGTTGTGGTGGAATCAGACTAGGCTAGGGAATCCTCAGGTTAGACTCTAGGGCTAAATACCTCAGTCCCAAGTCTGCTCAAAATGTCCACAGTAACATCATCTGAGCCCCTTTTCTTTCATTGATTGTTCAAAGCAACTTTCCCTATAACTCATTAGCTCTGTCTCCTCACTCCCCAATCTCCAGTGTGCTCCAAGTGAGGCTGTTTTATAGAAGATGCTGAGTGGGGAGGCAGCCTGTGGGAAGGATGATGATCCAGCCAAGAGCCACATTGCTGCCCCCACCTTGAGAGTCAGACAGACCCCAAGTATTTGCTAAGGGTTTGCTATATGCCAGGCATTGTGCTTAGAGCTACAGATACACAGAAAGTCATAAATAGTCCCTGCCCTCAAGGTACTTTGATGCTAATATGGGAGAGTACATACAATATGTACTAGGTGGCACAGTGGATAGAGTGCTGGGCCTGGAGTCAGGACATGAGTTCAAATCTAGCCTCAGACATTTATTAACTGTGTGACCCTGGGCAAGTCACTTAACCCTGTTGGCCTCAGTTTCCTCATCTGTAAAATGAGCTGCAGAAGGAAATAGCAAGCCACCCCAATATCTTTGCCAAGAAAACCCCAAATGGAGTCACAAAGAATCAGACACGACTAATCGACTAAACAACAAATTGAAGGAAGTCTCTGGGGGAAGGCATTGCTATGGGTCAGTTGGTATACTAGGAAAATTTTCCTGCAGAAGATGGATTTTGAGCTGAGTCTTAAAGGAAGCCAGGGAGGTAAGGAGACATTGTGGGCATAGCCAGGCATGGGGGACAATCAGTACAAAGACATGAAGTCAAAAGATGGAACCCTGTGTGCAAAGTGAAGTTGGACCATGGAGTAAGTGGAGAGGAGCAAAGTACAAGAAAACTGGAGATTATGGAGAAATGTAAATAAAGCCAAATAGAGGATTTGGTATTTGACCCTGGAGAGTCAGAAGGCTCCTGCCTGCTCCCAGGCCTAGGCTTAGGGACTGAAAGGAGAAGGGGATGATCAAGGGATCTTAGATGAGTTGACTGGAGGCTGGGACTGGAGAGCTGAGGAAGGACGGGAATGTTGGATGAGGGAGACTCACAGCTGGCTGCTTTGCCTTTATGTCCGTGGCTTTTTCAGAATGAGGTCCTTAATCGGCAAATTCAAAAGGAGATCTGGAGGATCCAGGATGTGATGGAGGGCCTTCGGAAGAACAACCCGTCCCGGGGCACAGATACCGCCAAGCACCGAGGTGGGCACACATCCCCTCGGCTGCCTGGCCTGACCCTAACCCTTGGCATCCCCCAGCTTGAACATCGTCTTTATGGTGCCCTTGACATAGGACCTCCTGGTTTTTCACAGGTCATTTGGGACCAGTGCCTTCTAAGGGCCCTGGAGCTATCCCCTTTTCCCTAGAGTTGAATAATCTCCCCCAAACAGGTGCAGGACACTGCCAGATGGCCCAAGCAGAATATCTAAGTGTTCAGGCTCCCACAATTCCTTCTCCTCCCACTGAAAAAAATGCAAAAAGTACAAGTTTCCCCCTCTGGTTCATTTCTTACCCTATCCCAGTGGATTCTTGGGCTAGGTTTTTTGCTTTTTTGTTTTTGTTTTTTAGTCATTCCTGGGACAGCACTGTTCCCTCCGTGACCCTGGCTCACTGTATTGACCCTTCCACTATTCTCAAGTTATTCTTTAGGAGAGACAGGCATACCTATCCCTTTAGATACTCCAAGCACTGGCTTTGGGCCCACGTGTCCAGCCTTTTTACAACAGCTCCGTCTCACCTCCTCCAATTCTTACCTCTTTCCTCTTCTCTTCTCCCAAGGAGGGCTTGGCCCTTCAGCCACCTTCAGCTCCAATAGCCCTGCAAGCCCCCTCAGCTCAGCCAGCCTCACCAGCCCCCTGAGCCCATTCTCGATGGTGTCTGGCTCCCAGGGGTCTCCCACTAAGCCCGGGCCTCATGAGGTAAGGAAAAAAAAATGGAATCTCAGCATTTGGGGAGGGAAGGGGGAGGGAGGAGAGGAAATCTTCAAGCTGCATAAATTGCCATCTGTTCTAACTCCTCTTAAGCATTTAGACGTATTCCTTTAAACCTCTTTAAAGTTGTTTCTCCTTGCCATACTCCCATGCTAGCCCCACCTATCCTGTGTTCTTTCCTCTGTATTTCAACTTCACCTTTCTTAATCTTCCATCCATTACTCAGATCCCTTCCTAGGGAGAGCACTTTCCTGATGGCTTTGAGTTCTATGGTACTCCTGAGCACCAACTTGAGAAGCAAAGCATGCTGGTACCTTGGTACCTTGACCAGAATTGAGATCCAGAGCTTCTGTGGGTGAGAGGGTCTAGGAAGCTGTGATGTGATCAGTCAGCACCTCTTGCCTTCCTTGGCACTCTGGTTGGTAGTCACTGGAGGGTTACAAAAAAATAAAACACCCTGGGGACAATTGAAAGATGAAGATTTAAAACCCAAGAAGCAATCAGAGAACGGTATAAGCTGGACTTAATTAAGTGTGAGGCTGCATATGCATGCTTGGGAGGGAGAAGAGGGGAAAGAGCTATCTGGACAGGAGGTGTCAGAGAAGGTTCATGGAGGACGTGGAGGAGATGGACAGCCAGGACTTGGAAAGGCAGAGGAGCAAAGGGAAGACGTTCCGAGTGACCAAAACAGCTCAGAGATGGGAATGAAGATGAGGCACCCGAGGAGCAGGTGCTGGGCCTACCTGAGCTCAGTTCACCTCTCTCATGCTTACCATCTGTGTGATCAGGGCCAGGCCGCTTACACTCTCTGGGTAAAATGGTGGATCCCTGTCTCTCACAGAGTCATCGTAGGGGCTGAAATGATATCTTTTATGTGAAAATCTTCACAGACCATAAAGTGCTATATAAATATTGGCCATGATTTTATTAAGGATCCATGAGAGAAAAGCCTGGATAGGGTGGGATCAGATAGAAGAAGGTATGAATGCCAGAGAGGGAATTTTAGACTAGACGCTTTGTAAGTATCCCAGGACAAAAGTGAAGCTGACTTGTCAAAAGCGGATGATGGTCTGGTTTTCTTTTTCTTTTTTTTTTTTTTTTTTTGCTAGGGCATCATACCTGTCATCTAATGAGAGGCAGTGTGATGTCATGGAAAGTGAGTAGTAGCCTGAGAGTCAAGAGACTTGGGTCTTACTTCCACAAAGTTACTTTGTGATTTGGGGAAAGTGATTTTAATCTCTCTGGGCCTCAGTTTCCTCACTAGTAAATGAGGAAGTTGAACTAGTTGGTGTTTAAGGTCCCTTTAGGGGCAGCTAGGTGGTGCAGTGGACAGAGGGCCAGACCCAAAGCCAGGAAAACTCATCTCCATGAGTTCAAATCTGGCCTCAGACACTTACTGGCTGTGTGACCCTCAGCAAGTCACTTCACCTTAGTTTCCCTTGCCTCAGTTTCCTCATCTGTAAAATGAGCTGGAGAAGGAAATGGCAAACCACTCCAGTATCTCTGCCAAGGAAACCCCAAACAGGGTCACGGAGAGTTGGATGTGACTGAACCGCAGTAACAACAAGGTTCCTTTTAGATCTAACGTTCTATGGTTCCGTGGTTCCACTAACACTCTCTTCTGTCCTCTTCTCAGCTGCTGCTCTTGCTCGTAACACTCTGGCTTCCTCTCTGCCTCAGGAACCTGGCCCTCCTCGGCCCCCCCTTCCCAAAGCGTACGTCCCCCTGGAGTCTCCTCCAACAGTCCCTCCGCTCCCTAGTGAAAGCCGCTTCTGGCCACACCCCAACTCTCCCTCCTGGCACCGAAGTGGCGAGACAGCCAGGGGCCAGGTACCCGCTCTCCGCACTCCCTGGTGGGTAGGGGAAAGGGATGGGGGTCCAAATGGGGAAAAGAACCAAAGGCAATAGGGAACAGAGTCACTTTTTTCTCCCCTTTTTATCCTAATTTTTCAACAGCTTCGTTTCTTTTGGGCTTCCTGCCCAGCTGAATTTGTACACAGCCCTCTCTGGGATAAGGAAAGAGGGACCCCCCCTTTGTCCTCTCTGGACAGAATGGCACATGGACTCTCTCCTTGCTCCCCACCCCCCACCACTTGAAGCCCAAGGTTGGTGGTATTGTACCACTGACTGGTAGAAAGCCAGTGGAGAAAGGATACCAGCTCCTGTCTGTGGTACCATCCTAGACAATCTTGGTCCCCCAGGCATAATCTCTCTCCAGGCAATAAGTACTTAAGTAATCATCTTTTCCACCACCCCTTCTAGCTTTTCATTCTTGCCTGGAACCCCCTTCAGGGATCTGAATAGGCTTTTGAGAGATAATATAGTATAATAGACTTGAAGTCAGGACACGTGAAGTCTAGTTTCAGCTCTGCCAAATACTACCTGTGTGACATTGGACAATTATTTAATCTCTCTGGGCCTCAGTTTTTTCAACTGTAAAATAAAGAAATTGGACTAGGTAACCTCTAAGGTCTTTCTCCCCCTCTAAATCTGCAATCCCATGATCCCTTAAAGAGTTCTATGAGCCCATGTTCTATGCTTGTAAGCTGAAAGTCTCTCGCTCTCCTGGGATCCTGTTAAGGATGCCCCATTGGCCCCTGCTGACTCAAGTCCAGGATGGAATCCTGAAAGGCCCTTCCTCACATATTGGCGCACATCCCCCTCCTTAGCCAGCCTCTCCCTGCAATACCATAAATAAGAGTGTCAGCTGTATCTCGGGATGACTGGACAGGTCGAGGTACCTGCTTACTCTTGTTGACTCAGAAGCCCCCCAGAAGCCAGAGTCTCCCATTATATCCCGAGATATGCTAGTGGTCCATGTTTCTCTCCCAGGATACAGGTGGGATGTTCAATGGGCTTTAAAGGAGATACTGAGAAGAATGGTACTGAATGAGAAGTACAGGACCTTCACCTTGCCATTAGCCTGCTGTCTCCTAAGCTCTTCTGTCATCTCTCCCCAGCCAAAGGGAAGCTATGAGCAGGGCAAGAAGGACCCTCACCAGACGTCTCCCCTGGATCCCCCCAGAGACATCAACCTCATGCCCACCAGACAAGAACTGGAGGCTGATAAGCAGGCAGCTCTTAATAAAGGTATGTCCCAGCTATATCATTCTGTGGGACTTTACCCTTGCATCAAGACGAGGAAGCATTTTGTTGAGACAAGTGGTTTGGGAGTCAAGGTTTCTGGACTTTCATCTTCACCTTGGGCAGATTTGAATTTTTTAAGGCTTCACCATCCTCCAATAGTGGTGGTGTGGTATGTGGTATGGTGTGCTGTGATATGTAATATGGTATGCCTATATGCTATGTGGTCTCTCATCCCAGAGGTATCAAAGTGTAGCCATTTGCAGAAGAAACAGATTAAAATGTACTCAGGAAACATTTAACAAAATAAATGGAAATACAATATAGATAATGTTAATTTGTGGTTTTCTAAGTTAACATGCACCTATTTCTATTTGAGTTTGATACAAACCCTGGCCTATCCCGTCTCTTGTCAGGCTCTTGGGACGATGAAAAGATCTAAGAATGTCCTTGATTCCCTCTTCCCTCTGTCTCTGGGAAATCCTGCTCTCCCCCCAGCCCCCTCATCAAGCTACCCTTCTTTGTTGAACACTCTCCCCTTCTAACTCTTCTCAGTTGGCATTGTGCCTCCTCGGACGAAGTCACCCACTGATGAGGAGGTAGCACCATCAGCGGTGGTGAGGAGGAGTGCCAGTGGGCTTCCCAATGGACCGCTCTCCCGGGTAAGTACCTGACCTGGCAGACCCACAGGGCTGAAGGAAGGGGAGGGAAAGCAGAGCTCAAGAACCATAAGATCAGGGATAGAGAGCTGGAAGGGACCTTAGAGGTCACTGAGTCCAACCACTTCATTTGACAGATAAAACAATTGAGGCTAGAGGGGTTTAGTGATTTACCCAAGGTCAAACAAGCCTAAGTGGCAGCTAGGATCGGAACTCAGGTCCTCTGACTATAAGTCCAGCACCCTTTTCATTAATCCGTACCACATAATACCCAGCTAACACCGGAGAGCTGTGTGTCAGCAGCACCTATCGCGCTCCCTCTCCTGCAGCGTGCTAGGTGTTGGAAGGAGAGAACAAGAGAAAGGAAACAGAATTCCTTCCTTCACGGAGCTTCCCATCTGACTGAGGAGATGGTCAGAGAACCTCAGAGTTGCAGGGGACCTCACAGATCATGTAGCACAGCCCACATCCACCGCAGGCTCAACTCTGTGGCACACCCAACAAGCGATCTTCCAAAGAAGGCAGGAGGGTGCAGTAGCCCATTCACTTTTGGACGGATCTATCTGTTAGGAAGTTCTCCCTTATATCAAGCCCGAGTCTGCCTCTCTATCATTTCCACCTCTTACTCTAGTCCTCATCCTTGGGGAGCTCACAGTCTGTTGGGAGGGGGAGGGGACTCAGTTGCTACCCTCAAGAAGCTGCTAGTCTGATGAAGGAGACAGGAAAGATGCGTGTGATTAGCCAGGGCCTTCCTTATCAGTAAGTGGAGCTGTCCAAGCGGAGGTTGGATGGACCTCTTATCTGGGAGGATTTAGAGGACATTCCTCCTGCAGGTAGGTTAGATGGCATCTGGGGTGTCTTCCAACTCTGCCATTCTAAAAAGATGTGGAAAAGTTCACAGAGAATTTTTCCAAAGTGCAGGTAAACATAATGCAAACATTCAGGGATGCAGAATAAAACAGTGATTGGAGTGGAATTAGAGATTGATGGGATCAATCTAGGAAGGCTCTCTGAAGGAGGTGACTTTTGAGCAGAGACAGGAATCGGGAATGGCAGAGGGTGGGTGAGGGAACTAAGGGCGCCTCCAGCACCTCCCCCTCCCCTCCACACACACACACACCCACCCCCACCCCCCTCCCAGCAGGAGCGTCCCAAGAGTGCAATGTTTCCCAACGAGGTGAAGGCCAAGATGAGTGTGGAGGAGCAGATCGACCGCATGAGGCGGCATCAGAGCAGCTCCATGAAGGAGAAGCGTCGGAGCCTACAACTCCCAGCTGGCCCATCCCCTGACCCCACTGCCCGACCCTCCTACAAAGTGGTAAAACTCCCCCAGCCACCCCACGGGCACAGGGGGCTGTGAGACTCCCCTGGTCCCTGGGCATGGCCAGCCCCGGCCAGTGGGCATTGTTGGGGAAAGGGTGGGAAGCTCCTCACGGGGATGACTGGGAGAGGCCTTTCTGGGGTGCCTGGAACGGCCACTTTAAATAGAGCTCAATTCAACATGCCTTTGCGAGGGGCCTGCTAGACGTAAGGCACCACCAGGCTGGGCATTGTGGAGAAAGAATAGAGAAGAAAATATAAAATATGGTTTCTACCTCAAGGAACTTGCAATCTATTTGGGAAGACAGGACACTCATGTGAGACATTTAGAGTTTGATGTGAGGCAAAATAGAATCAAGGAACAACATTATGTGGTGACTCCTAGGGACGATGAGGGAGAAGACAGGCCAGTGCTGGCCAAAGTTATCAGGGAAGGCTTCTTGGAGGAAATCGAACTTGAGCTGGGCCGCCTTGATGGATGGATGTGATTCAGATAGGCAGGAGAAGACTGTATTCTAGCCAGGGGAAGGGCGTGAATGAGCTTTCAGAGCCAGAAGGGGATCGTAGGAACCTAGTTCCACAGCTGGAAGAAACCTCAGAGGTCATCTGGTCCAGCCCTATCATTTTCTGGATGAGGAAACTGAGGCCCATGGTGGTTAAGTGATTTGCCCAACGTCACAGGAAAGGTCTCTTTTTGGGACCGTGAAAAGCCAACCTGCCTATTCCAGAGGGTAATACGAAAAAAGTGAGAGAGGAGAGTGTTTAGGTAGGATGGGGCCAAATTGTGAAAGACTTTGGAAGAGGGCCGAGAAGTGGAGTTCAGCGTTTAATAACCAGGAGGGAAAATCCTTACCAGGGTGACTAGGAAAGTCACAGCTGGTAGATGACAGGGGAGGGGCAGGGCAGGGGGGACACAGGCCCCAAGTGGCCATGGCTCTGCTGGCTCCCAGGTGCGCCGTCACCGCAGCATCCATGAGGTGGACATCTCCAATTTGGAGGCGGCACTTCGGGCAGAGGAGCCCGGTGGGCAGGCCTATGAGACTCCCCAGGAAGAGATTGCCCGACTTCGAAAAATGGAACTGGAACCCCAGCACTATGACGTGGACATCACCAAGGAGGTAAGAAGAAACTCTTGCCTCCCCTCTTGGGGGCCAAGGGCAGGGAGCAACCTGTAATGACCGCGTCCTCACCCCCATAGCTCTCCACACCCAACAAAGTCTTCATCCCTGAGCGGTACATTGAGCTGGAGCCAGAAACACCCCTGAGCCCAGAAGAGATGAAGGAGAAGCAGAAAAAGGTGGAAAGGATCAAAACTCTCATTGCCAAATCCAGGTGACTAGGCTTGGGGGTGGGAGGTGGCGGCATCACCCGTTCCCTCCCCGTCCTCACCCTTAGTACCCAGGGGACTCTGGGGGGCAGTGCTTTCGAGGCCCACTTGTGCCTAGTGCCTCTGACTCTGCGCTATTTGGTTCTTACTAAGTGCCACAGGCTCCATGCCTTCCTGGCTGTGGGGCCAGGGAGCTAGGAGAAGAGAAGGCTATGGCTTCTGTCAGCTGGTGCTAACAGAGACCAAGAGCTCACACTTGGGGTGTCTGCCCATAATCATTCCATGTGTCCTTCTTACACACCCATCCCGCCCATTGCCCTGTTGGGAGTCCTTTCTCTCCTTAAGACAGCCCTTGTTCATTTTAACCTGGTTTCACTCAGATAATGGTGTTGGAGGAACACACCAGCTATTTTCCCCTTCAGCATATATCTTTAGGGATAGCTTGCCTCCAGTAGAATGGAAACTCCCTGAGGACAAGGTCTGCTTCAGTCTAGTACTGCTATGCTAGCACCCGGCACAGTGCCTGGGACCTGGTAGGTGCTGAGTCAAGGTTTGCTGTTTGATTGATTGTTACCTTGGGAAGCATATTCACCAACTCCCTCTACCCCAGGGGAGCTTAACCGTTTTGGTGTCTTGGACCCCTTTAGCAGTCTGGTGAAGCCTATGGACCCCTTCTTAAGAGAATGTTTTGAAATACATAACATGCAATACTTAAGATGACAAAGGAGACTAATTATATCATAATACAGCTATCAAAACAATGTCTAAAATAATTTTATGAACCCCAGGCTAGGAACACATAGAACCTAGCCTACAGAAGCATAGACACAGTTACCTGAAGGGCCCCTGTATCACCCTGGCCCTCCGTGGGTATGTGTCTGTGCTTCCCCAGTATGCAGAACGTGGTGCCCATGGGCGAGGGCGACTTGGTGGACGTGCCACAGGACCCCGAGAGCCAGCTTCAGGAGCAGGAGAAGAGGATTGAAATCTCCTGCACCCTGGCGACTGAGGCCTCCCGAAGGGGCCGCATGCTGTCTGGTGAGAGGGGATGGGCCCTGCTCTGCCAGCAAGGTTGGCTGCCCAGACTGGCCCGGGGCTTGGGGCTGGGCCTGGACCTGGACCTGGCCAAAGAGGTGTGGCCACAAACTTAGGGTGAATTATAAATGATTTGTCCACCTCTGCCAATACTCCTCTACCTTAGAGCATATAAAGAAGAGGGTCTTCCTTTTTATTCTCACCAATTTCCACATTGGTGACCACATGCATAGCTCCCCTCCCCATGTGCTTGTGGCACACACAGGTCCCTGGGAGTCTGAGTGAGGGACAGTCAGGCCACCGGGCCCAGCAGGAACATTGGCAGGCAAATTGGAGCAAGGAGAGCTAGAGTCTGCTCCCATGTTCTGGTTCTGTATCTTCCACCATCGGCTCCAGTAATCTTCCAGCCCCCTGTAGACACACAGTTTGTACACAGGCATCGTCTTCACCCCAGCGGAGGTGTTGAGCATCCGTGGTGAGGAGGCTTGGCCCTGCCTTTGGGGAACACTCACTTTAATGGAGGAAATATATTCTCTGCCCTTGGGAAACTCCTAAGCCTTATGGAAGAGAAACAGTCTTTACCCTCAGGGAGTTCACACACACACACACACACACACTCTCTCACTCTCACTCTCTCACAAGAGTGATGTAGTGAATCAACGGAGGGAACAATTCATGTTCCAATCATGGTTTTTGGTACCTCAGGTGCAAATATTCCTCGTTATACTCTGTAGGCAGCTAGGTGGCCCAGTGGCTAGAGTGCCGGGTCTGGAGTCAGGAAGACCTGAGTTCAAATCCAGCCTCAGATACTCACTAGCTGTATGACCCTGGGCAAGTCACTTAATCCTGTTTGCCTCAGTTTCCTCATCTGTAAAATGAGCTGGAGAAGGAAATGACAAACTACTCTAGTATCTCTGCCAAGAAAACCCCGAAAGGGTTCAGTCAGATATGATTGAAATGGCTAAAGCAAAAACAGACAGTATTATTGGTAGGTATGCCAGTATAGACCTCTTTTCACACAAATGCATTCATAGAAGGCATATGGATGCAGTCAACTCCTAATTATTTATGTTCATCAGGTGGGAGAATCATAGCACAGATAATCCCTAAACCCTGAAATCCAAAAATAGATAATCCAAAAGTATTTTGATTTATTTGGGGGATATATTTTACTTTGTGCATTTTACTGTGGGGGTGTCTGGTCTGTGAATTCATAGGACTTCAAAACTGTCCTCCTACTTCCCTCCTTCATACTGGACATGAACACCTCCATCTCTCAGCAGTCTCTCTTATCTTTCCTAAAACTTGGAATCCCGGGTCAAGGGAAGTAATTCACTGGCTGAGTTTGAAAAGCTGCTCCTGATAGCTGATCCCGAATGTAGGGAGGGAGGGAATGTCGAAAGTCTTTCCCTTCCAGCTTCTGCTGGGCAGCGGGCAGCAGGCTAGTAGCAAGAGTAAACAGACAGCAGGGCGATGTTATCTAAGGAGGCAGACCAAGCTGCCATAGCCTTGTCTCCAGCCTAGCCCGACTGGCGAGAGCTCAAAGATTTCCTGTTTTCCAGGAAGAATATGAATACTTGGGAATCGATTGGACACAGACAGGAGGAGGGAGAAGGAGATGAGTAGGCTGTGATTGAGTTTGAGTTTAGCTGTGAAAGCGGACAATTCTATCTAGAAAGGTCTAGGCAGGGGTGGGGAACCTGTGCCTGCTGCACTTAAGGATCTAGAAGGCCACATGTGGCCTCAAGGTCGCAGGTTCCCCACCCCTGGAGAGGGGAGAAATGGGGATGGGTGAGACTTGAATGAATGGAAGGGACAAGATATATTAGAAGAATGTGAAGAGTTAGTAGTTCTTACTAAATTCTTACTAAAAGTGACATGGGGAACACTTTAGAGACTTATTTAACTGCAGAGCAGGGAAAGCATAGTAGCAAGAGATGAAATCGATGAGGTGGATAGGCATGGAAAGCTTTGAGCTCTCCCATGAAAGAAGGGGAAGGGTGGTCCACAGGAGGTGAGCAGATGATTACAGCAGCTTGAGCCTAGAAATCGGGGAGGCTAGACTGGAGAGACTAGAGACTGGTGACACCTAGATTGTTTCTGGCCCTGGGGGCCTTTAGGAGAGAGATGAGGAAAAAAGTCAGTTCCTCCTAAGGAAAACAGGGCTAGACACACACGTGACCTGTGGCAGAGGTTTTCCAATGTAGAACACTGGCCATCCCACGGAGTGTGTCTGGTGGCACATATGTTTTGGCTGGGGCACGTTCCGTGGAACGTTGGGTATTTGGCCCCAGAAGAGGCTCAACCTTCCATAGGAAAGAAGTACCACTATTACGTATAGTTAAAAATAAGTGCTGTTCATCCTTATTCCTAATAATCACAAACATAGCTCTTCTCAAAGGTACGCTCTCAGGCTGCAAGTAGCAAGAGGAATTTTAGTTAGCCCTGGGGAAGAACTTTCTGGTATCAAAAGGGATGAATACAATAAGGTCCAGCAGTGGGATAATAATAATAGCTCATTAATACCACACTTTACTGTTTCCAAACAAAACAAAACACTTTCTTCCCAACAATAATGTGTAGCAGCACAAGTAATGTTCTTCCCATTTGGTAGATGAGAAAACTAAGATCCAGAGAGTTTTGGCTCCATAGCCCAGGTTGCACATTTCATGTTAGAGCCAGAACCTGAACCCAGGTCTTCTGACTCTCAGTAGAATGCTTTTCCAGTTACAGCGATGAATCATCTTCCCTGTGGAGAGTCGTCCATTGGTTCTGGGCACATCTGGGAGGCAGGGGGATGGATGGGATAAGACCTGGGGAGTTGGGGTGGGGAAGGCAGCTTCCCGAATCAGGACTACAGGGCATGAGACTGTGGAACTGGTTTGGGCATGAAGGCTCCAGCAGCACTTGTCAGCATTTCCTTCACAAACTGAACTTGAACCTCTGAAGGTCAAATTCCGTGCTCTGGGCAAAAGGCAACTTCCTGTTTCAAAGGGAGTAAAAGCAAAACCCTTTACTGAAAAACCCTTCCCCAGCCCGGCCCCAGGGCCCTGACTTTCTCTGCCACAGGCCTCCAGCCAGAGGTTCCATGAAAACAAAACCTGAACTGGCCTATCGGATTCCTCCTCTACACACACAGGCTTAGGTTTCAGCCCGTGCATTCAGAGCAAACAGCCACCTGGGTTCTACCCAAACCCCAAATATTTAAAGAATGACTGTGGTACTGCCAAACCTCAGGCCCAGCTCCCTGTCCCTGCTGCTTTGTTTCCTGGGTTCTAGGGTCCAGAAACACCCACAGCTGCACCAAAGGCAGGGCAGCAACGGTGCCATGGGGAACACACAACCTGTGTGTTGGCAGTGGAGTTGTGAGTGCGCGTGTTGTGACAGTACAGAATCTGTATGTGAGTGTTGTGTAGTGTTTGGGAAGGCCCGTGTGTGTGTGTGTGTGTGTGTGTGTATGTATGTGTTGCAGGGAAGAAAGAGCACTGAATTGGTATCAGAAGATGTGGGGTTGAATCTCTGCCCGGCTGCTCATTGATGTAGCCTCAGGGCCAAGTTACTTTCCCTCTCTGGGCCTCATTTTCTTTATCCACCCAAATGAGGAGTTTGCTCAAAATCCTGTGATCCCATGGCCCTAGAATGTTATATGCTGTCTGTGTGTGTGCGTGTGTTTGTGTGAGAGTGGGTGACTGTGAAGACATTGTCCAGAGAAGCCTCATTTACTTGGCATCGTCAGAGAAGCATTGGTTCCACTTAAATCTGTTTTCTAGTTGCCAAAGCATATCCCTTCAACCAATCAATCAATCAGCAAGCATTTATTGCCAACCTACCAGGCGCTAGGCAATGGAGATACGAATATCACCTGACTATGTGAAGAACGGAAGGAAATAAGCATTTATTAAGCACCTACTATGTTCCAAGCACTGTGCTAAGCACTTTTACAATCATCCCATTTTACAGTCAAAGAAACTGAGGACAGACAGAGGTTAAGTGACATTCTCAGGGTTGCTAGTAAGTATTTGAGACTGAATTTGAACTCGAGTCTTCTTGACTCTAGGCCCGGCGATTGATCCACTGAGTCACCTACCTAGCTGCCTCCGGCGGCACACGTCTGTGCCTCATGTCTGAGTGGGGTGGGGTGGTAGGACTTTCTAGGCCAGCAGACCCAACAGCAGTGTGGCAGCTGGGCTGAAGTAGGGAGACACAGCTTATTTATATAGAAACTTTCCTGCCTCCTTAAAAAGAGTTGGTCCATCTCCAGTCCTGGCCGCTGGACCCAGATGGAGCTGGAGGAGAAAGTGAGGCTGGTGCCTTTGCACAGCCCTACCTCACTGTAGTCCAATTGACTCACATGTCATAGCATCACCTTCCTGATGTCTTGTTCTTCTTTGAGACCAAAGGACAAACAACAACAACCTACTATGTGCCAGTCACTCAGTCTTTTAGGCACTGGGGCTATAGGGACACAAAAAATTGTCCCTGACTTCAAGAAGCTTATATTCTATTGGGGTAGTTTTTTTTTTTTTTTTTTAAGTGCATAAGTTTAATATAGCACCTGCTCTGGCTCTGGAGGAGAAAGTGAGGCTGGTGACTTTGCACAGCCCTCCCTCACTGTAGTCCAGTTGACTCACATGTCATGGCATCTCCATCCTGATGTCACGGTCCTCTTTGAGAATAAAGGACAGACAACAATCGACACAACCTTAAACAGGGGATACCGACAGGCTTTGCTTGACTCACTCTCGCCATTTCGCAAAGAGGACCTGATGGACCATTGAGGGACATGTGTTTGTCCCAAAGAGGCAAATAGGTTTTTACTACCATGTTTTTAAATCCCCTTCCTGCTTTTAATTTTTTTTCATTCTATTATGAGCGGTGACTTGTTGCTACTCAGCATTCCTGCCTTAGCAAGCAGCCATCTTTGCCCGTCTTCCCTCTAAATTTTCGGCATCTTATTTAGTCGCCTGCTTTCTCAGAACACAGCAGATTTGTTGGAGTCGTGTATGTGCGGGAAGTAAGAGTAGCTAAGGCTCTGAGGGAGGGCCTCACCTGTCAGTACACTTTATGCAGTTCAGCAAGGATTTATTGAATCACTGCCCTAGGGAAGGCCCTGTACCAGTCCCTGAATGGAGGGCATTAACTTGAGAACACAGACTCCCCAGAATCAGTTTTGGCTGCATGTGGATCTTTCTAGCTTACGCCTCCTGTTGTCGGTCGTTCCCCAGCTTGTCAAAGGTACTGGATGAATGACCTCTGAATCATACAAATCGATCCAGCAAACATTTAGTAATCATCTACTGGTTGTAAGGTTCTAGGGATATAAGAACAAAAAGGTAGCCTGCTCTCAAGGAGCTGAAGTTTTACCGGGAGGATGTGGCATGCATGTAGACATGTTCATAAAAAGCGACATAAAGTAATTTCAAGGGGCAGAGAAGTTGTGGGTAGGAGGGAAAGGGAAAAAAGCATTAAGAGGCATGACTATTGGGGTGAGTATGAGTTTGGGTGAGTACGTACAGTGGTGGTAGATGCACGTAGGTGAATGCACTGTGTAGGTGTAGGGGGATGTGTGCAGTGTGAGAGTGGACAAAGGGAGTGAATGCACGAGTACATTTGAGGGATACCTGCATTGTTTGGGGCTCTAGTGCCATGTATGACGTACAAGAGGAGTGAGTTTCCCAGTACGCGGCATACTCATCCCTGCTGAATGGTGATAGTTACCCCTATAAAAAGCTGTAAAAGGAAAATTGGAACCCATCCTTCCTTAAGCCTACCTTTCCTGACTGCTGAACAGAGAGAAGGAAGGGGGTAAGATTAGGAAGCAAGACACCTGGAATTCCACTTCCAGGTGATAATATGCTGTGTGACCCTGGCAAAGACCCTAACTCTCTCTGTGCCTCTGTGAGACAGGGAGACCTGTCCCTAACTTCTTCCTGAATCTCCCTGATCCACTAAGGATGAATATGGGCCTGGAATGTGCTTCCAATTGCACCCCCCTGCTTTCCCCTTTTTACTGCTCTAGCCAAATAACACTGCAGTGAAACCTCACCAATTTGGACTTCTTTCACTCAGTAAGAAGGTTGTGCTGTGTGTGTGCACACAGTTTCTGAAAAAGAGGCAGAAATAGATCCGTTAGTTGCCTGTAGAAGATTGTAAGGGAAATATTTACAAATTTGCTATTTACCATTATAAAGTCAGGCAAAGTTGGAAAGACCCTTAAAGGTCATGAGTCCAACTCTTTAAAGGGTGCCTTGTCTTTTGTATGAAAACTAATAGCATATAAGCACAAATTGCATTCTACAAATATTTAATGAGTGTTAATAAGGGTCTAATCTGGCAAAAGTTCATTCAGAGACCCATTCCACCTCTGCTAGGCAATATTTCTTTTAGCCTAGTGAAAGTTAGTACATATTTGAAAATTATTTTTAAAAATTACATCATCTAGTTCAACTTTTCCATTAATTTAGGTTGACTTGCCCTAGGCCCTCTTCTTGGGGGTGAGGGAGAAGAAAAGGTTCTAATTAGTGAAATTTTGCTATGTATTGTAAAATAATAATATAATAATCATTGCAAATATTACATAATAATTGCAAATATTATTATTTTGACTTTTCATTTGTAAAATGTGCCATTGAAAATAGATTACCTATCTCATTGCATCCCCAGAATAGCCCTATAGGGCAGGGGTTCAAAGCTCCCCATTTTGCTCCATTAGTCCAATGGATCTGTGATCCCATTAATGGGGGGAGGGGTATCCCTTCCATTCATCTGGATCACAGCCTGTCCGTGCCTACCCATCCTCATTTCACAGATGAGTGAATGACGGCGCAGAGAGAGCAGATGACCTACCCAAGGTCACAGAGAAAGCTGCTGCAGCAGCTCAGATTGGACCTCAGGTCTCCTGACTCCCAGGCCCTCATTGGCTCTACCGAACCAGCAAGCAACATTCAGCCGTGCCCTTCCGCACTCCAGTGGGCGTGAGGGGGGCTTTGCCTGTGCTTGGGCTGGCTCACCAGCTGCGAGCTCTGCTTTCCCTGCTTGCCTCGACATCCTCGTTCTCTTCCCTTCTTGGAAGAGGCCTTGTTCCTGGTGCCCATCCCCAGTCTCCCTCCCATTCACAAGCCTGTTCATTTCTGTTTCCAGCTCAGTGTGCCACCCCAAGCCCTCCCACCTCCCCTGCTTCCCCGACTCCACCAGTCAACCCCCTCTCGTCTGATCCCCCGCGGGGCACCGACAACAGCCATTCTATGCGGGTCTGAGCTGTGACGTAAGCATCTTTTCTACTGTATTTGATCGCACCAGAGAGACTTCCTTCCCCACCTCCAGAGCCATCTCCTCGTCTCCATGTAGACATCGCTTTCCTCCTCCCTGACCCTTTTCCCTTGCTGCTGTGCTCTGGTCCATCCATCTGCTGGAGCCTACCAAAAGCATCTCAGTGCAGTGGCTGGCCCTGGGCCTGGATCTCAGGTCAGATGGAGGAGGTGAACTTAGCTTAGGGAATGCATTATCCACCTGTGCACTGCTCTCAAAAGTCAGGCTCCCAGGCCACAAGCCCCATTATAGATAAAACTGGCACAGGGCACCTTTAGCCAAGGGCCACTAGTCTACCGAATTATTAATGTGATGTAATGTATTAATGTAATGTCCTTAACATGATGCGAGTGGACGAATGATCACTGATTTTTGTTCATCTGATGTAGGGGAGTCCTTACTGCCAAGACATCTTAGGGACACCTCTCCCACCTCCCAGCAACTCACTCCCATGAGGACAAAGTCCTTATGCTCTTTAGATAGGATTATCCTGAGTCGGCCCACACCCATGGGTGGATTCAGGATAGCTATTAACCCATGCCCGTGCCTGCCTCACTTTGTCCTCTCTCTCTTTAGTGCAAGCCCTGGCTGAAGCCAATGCTGTGAAGTTCCACAGAGCCACCTTCTGAAGCCCTCTTCTGCCACACCTAGGGTCTAGGCTCCCTATCTCAACTCCACCATGCTCCCCACAGGGCTGCTGTGGGGAGCCAGGCCTGGGGTGGCTTTGGCTGCTGAGAGGAGCGCGGATACCTCAAGACACACACACCCCCATGGCCTCTTGGATCATGGCCTCATTCTGAAGGGATGGTCCGGTTGCTGTGCTCCACAAGGGTCACTGGACTGGCGCTAGGGAGTGGCATGAGGTGCAGCCCGCCCCCTGATGCTGAACGGATAGGAGCACCCACAACTGTTGACTGTGGATACACCGGGACCTGCTGTGGAGGGGAGAACATGGGCCAGGAGGTGAAAGAGATGGACACATCTCCTCCCCTAGCCCCAGAGAAGTCCTACTTAGCCTATAACCCGGACACCCAGGGAAGAATCCTCAGCTGCCCTCTACCATTCTCCCCAATTTGCTCTCTCAATTTAAACCCTTAGCTTTAACGAATCTTGGCTTGTGGACGCCCTCTGGGGACAGAAGAGGGACTGGTCATCTTGACTGTGCCAAAGACAAGTGTAATGGGTCAAGAGAAGGATGCAAGGATGTGAATGTCAGTCACAGCACTCAGTGGTGGTGGTACAGGTGGTGGGGTGCAGTGGTTAGGGAACCAGCTGGTCTGTGTAGTGTCTGAGAACAAGTCAAGGAGGGTGAAGGGGTGGGGAGGTAAAGTGGTTGGGGAAGCTTCCCCAACAACATTCATTTGCAAGAGAAGGGGGAAAAGGGGGGAGAGGAGAAAGATGGGGCTGAAAAAATAGCTCAGAATTTGTTTTCGCAGAGTGAAGCCCCCACTCACTAATGAAAGCAATACCGGGTTGGCATTTTTTATAATCTCATCACTCCCAAGAGATGTCTTCTGGGCACCCCCTCCCCCCAAGCTAGCCTGAGGAAGACGCACTAGAGCAGGTGCTTCTGCACACTCATGTTTCTGATTCCAATTGGGAGATCTTTGATGAGAACCTGGGAAGTTGCTCTGGATAGATGAATGTCCTGGGGTCTGCATGCACCCCCTAGGGGTGCCAGCTGGTAAAGGTGAAATGGGGGAAAACCTCACTTAGCCCAGTTTGGTGACGGTTCCCTGATCCCCATCCCCCATCCCTTAGTTTCCAGCAGACAGAATAAAGAACACAAAGGCCCAATCCATCACCTGTTCCACACCCCATTCTTCAGAGGATTCCCAATCAGGGCCAGGTCTCAGAGACGCTGGAACTCTAATATGAGGACCTTTCTGGCACCTCCAATGCAGAGGGGGAGAATGTGTAGAGATGAGCATTGAGTCATCTTCCTCTTTCCTCCTCAATAACATAAGATAGATGCAGCTAGAGAAGGAGAAGAGTAAGATGGTCTCTGGACGCCATTTTCTTTTTGCCACAATTACTAGCATAAGGGTCACTCTGATATAGTTGACCATTCCCACCCATCCCAATATCCTGATAGTTCAAACCTAAGGAGATCTGCAAACAGCGACTGTTTCCCATCCTCTCGCCCTCGCCCCAATCCATTCCCCTTCTCGCTGGCTAGGATAGTTGCTACACCTATATAAATGTAATTTCCCAAATAACAAGTCCCTGCCCTCCTAAAGGACACCCCCCTATGCACACACACCTCATTGCTCAAAGAAGATGACAACTCATACCAATTTTCACCCTGTATTTTGATCTCACCCATGCCTATGGTTCTAAACCTCATTAAAGCATCCCTAGTCTGTCCTTCCTGTTTTGGGGGAAAGGGTGGGTGTGGAGAAAAAAGCATACCCAGTGACCTTTTTCTTTAGCACCTTGCTCCTCTTGCCCCATGTAACTCCCTGTGAAGAAGCCTGTCTCCTCCTACTTTGAACTGATTTCCAGGGACTGTTAACCCTTCCTGGAGTTTATCTGTCTCTCCTCTCCCCCACCCCCAAGAGTAATTTTCAAAAGAAATACATGTACAATACCAGGAAATAACATCTGCACCTCTCTCACCTCTTTCTCACCTATTATTTCATAAAGCTGGCTCTTTATGTTACTCTACATGCCTTAATATATGTTTTATGGAAATTATACATATTATATATAATATATATTTGTTTGGATGTCATATCTGTTTCTGGAGCCCCTAACCTTAACTATTTTTCTCTTTCCCTTACCCTCTATACTATTTCAGGTCATCCCCACAAAGTGGACCTCTCTACCCCCATCTTCTAGTCCCCTTTTTATCCAAAAGTGAAAAAAGGACTTTTAAGATAGATCTATTTTCTGCTCTTGTTAATGGCAAATCTATTTTCAAACTGTAGAATGTCCAAGTTGATGTGGTTGACAGTTCATGGGGCGATTGGGAGTAGAAGGCTCAGTACCACCACCACCCTCTCCACAAAAATAAAATAAAAGCTCTCCCTGCTCATGGATTTCTGACTATTTCCCAATCCAGAAAAGGCAAGAATCCCATTCAAAAAGATGTTAAAGAAATCTTCATTTGACATGGGATTTTCTCTTGAAAGTCTTCAGAAAATTTGATATTTTAGTCAATTTCCTACTGAGTGCAGATAAATTTCTTTGTAAGTCTCAGCCAATTCTCCTCACCCAAGTTAGAAATGCAGACTCAGGTCAGCCTAAGCTAAATAGAACCAGGAAAGCAAATCTGCTGCTGGGCCATGCTGTAATGTCTTCCAAAGCCAAACAAAAATGATTTTGGGATTACTGATGCTAACTGCTCCCCTCTTACCATGGAGCATTGAGAGCTATTTGGATCTTCTTACCACTTCTGTTTGATCCAGTTCTCCCCTCCCTCATGTATCTGTAAGGCATCTCCTGCTGTGTTCCCCCCCTCCCTTGGGGGACGGCCCCTTAGACTACCTTTGGGATTAGTCTCAGCCTGGCATCCAGGCTGCCAAACAAGGTCATGTGCCAAGGAAGATTCCAAAGGATGATGTAGCCCATTCAACCTTGCCAAGAGGACCTAGACCCAATCCATCCACTGAAACGTATTCTTGGTACTGAAATAAAGCAAAGCAACAATCCTAGCTGCTCTCTTGCTGTGAGATGAGATAAGCAGGCAAGGAGCAATTTTGTGGGGAGGATACAGACAATCAGGAGGTCTCTGTAGTCTTGCTTTGAGGCCCTGTACCCACAGGATGGAATGGCACATGATTCTCAGCAGGAGTTTAGAGGTTGACTTTGCACCTCAAGAGACGCCTTGGTGCTTGCTTCTCCACTTAACTGTCCCAGCATGAACTTTATCTGCCAGCAAGTGAGATGGGGGACTTAGTGCCCAGGTTGCCCCCTCCCACTCCCATCTCAAATAGCTATGGTCTGGACTCTTGAAGAAGTGACAATGGTGTTATCCATGCAGGGGAAATCCCTAATTAATAGCCTAGGGTTGCCCTGGTCAATAATTCCCTCCATCCATGACTTGTGTTTGGGATTGTCCTGTTGCAAAGGCCACTTTAACTATATTCCAGCTATGTGGACTCTTTCTCCTTGCCCAGGGCTTAGGCAGAGTCCTGCTTTTATTGGGGGAAGGGGGTGGGGGAGGGAGGAAGGAATGACTGTTGGTTGAGATGGGATTGATTTCCTTGTCTTTCTGTAACACCTTCCACCTGGTCACTCTTGTAACCAAGAAAACTCCACAGGAGTGAACTATATCTACTTATGCACATTCTGGGGACAATTTAATCTTGCTAGATTTAGACAATAAACCTAATGAGGAAACCTGTGATGTTGGTGTCTTTATTTGATATCAAAGTGACCTTAGGAGATAATTTGAAGTTGAGTATCCTCCAAGAAGCTGTAGCATGCTCATAGCATCTTTCTTGCCCAGGAAGGGGGAGTTCCTCCCTGAAATGGGTGATCATTTGCTTCCTCCTTTCAGCAGTCATTCTTTTTAGATGTAGCAACTACTAGAACAGTCCCATCTCTCAAGGGGAGCTGCATTTGTATAAATATAAGTTTGTATAAAACCAAAACAGGAAATAAAATGGATGGTTTGTACATATGGTGTGTCTCCAACTCTGTGCTGGGGAGAGGGCAAGGGCAAATTCATCGAGCAATCATTCATTCATTCAACAAGTATTAAGTGTCTGTGGTAGTCAGAGCACAGTGCTTAGGCATTGGGGAAGACAGATAAAGCTTAATTAAAACAAGACAGCTGCCTCGATAGAACTTACAGTTTAATAGGGGAACAAAGGCTCATGAGACCTGGGGAACAGAAGTAGTGAGATGATAAAAGAGGAAGACCTTGGGCGGGGGGGGGGCGTGATTTCCCTGACTGCAGGAGCAAGGATGGTGTTAGAACAGAGCCAGGATCAGACATTCTTGAACCCCATAGAAAGTTTGAGGACTCTACTCCCTACTTGGTTTTTTTTTGTTTGTTTGTTTGTTTTTAGGCAATTGGGGTTAAGTGACTTGCCCAGGGTCACACAAGCTAGTAAGTGTCAAGTGTCTGGTCTGAGGGCAGATTTGAACTCAGGTCCTCCTGACTTCAGGGCTAATGCTCTATCCACTAGAGCCACCAAGCTGCCCCCTCCCGTACTTATTCTTGAGAGGCTTTGTATCTTCCTTGTAAAACACAATTTAGGATTCCCCACCCCTGTTTCACGGATGAGGAACCTAAGACCCAGAGAGCTTGAATGAGTTGCTCAAAGTTACACAAGAAGTGTCAGAGGTGGTATTTGAACCTAGGTTCTCTGACTTTTGAGCCAATGTTATATCGTAGGCTCATGGAATCATAAATCTAGAACTAGAAAGAATGTGTTCTGGAACCCTCTTGTCCAACACCCTCATTTTATAGATGAGAAAACCAAGTACCATTTTCTGAGTTCTGAGCCCCCAGAACTGAGGGGGATTAACTTACCCAAGGTCAAATGGGTGGTACATTTTGTGGTTCCTGATTTTTGACTAGGAAGAATGACACGGTCCGATCTGTTTTAAGAATGTTGAGTTGAGAGTTGTGTGAAGAGGGGAGAGACAGAAATCAGGGAAACTGTTGAGGAGGCTATAGAAATAGTCCAGGCTGTGTGATTGAAGAGCAGGGGACAGAGACAAGAGAAAATGTGGAGGCAACTGAGTAAATGAGGGGGTTGAAGGAGAGGGAAGAGTAAAGAATGACTCCTATGATGCAAACTTGGGTGCCTGGAAAGGTGATGATGCCCTCAACTGAAATAGGGAAATTTGGAGGAAGAGTCTGTCTGGGACCAGGGGAGGGGATGAGCTGTCTTTAGACACTGTATATTGAGTTTGAGATTGCATATATATATATATCTGTAAAGATGTCTCAGGCAGTTCTCAATGCAGGACTGGAGTTCATCAGAGAGATTAGAGCTAGAAATATCGATTTAGGAGTCATTCATTCTTTCATCAAACATATATGTGCTTACTATGTACAAGGCACTGTGCTAGGCACTGGGAGACAGAACGGCAAAAATGAAACCCCACCCTTCCCTTAAGGAATTTATGTTTCACAGTCCATTAGACCATAAGATCCTTGATAGCAGGGGACTGTCTTGCCTTTCTTTGTATCCCTGGGGCTTAGCATAGCACCTAGCACATAGTAGGTGCTTAATAAATGCTATTTGACTGACTTGATAAATGATAGTTGACTGATACAATACATAGATAAGTAAATACAAGATATATAGAAAGTAAATACAAAGTTATTTGGGAACAAGAAAAGCACTACAAAGAGTTGTATAAGAGATATTGAGCCTTGAAGCTCAGAATTCTAAGTGACAGAGGTGAGGGGGATTGCATTGCAGGCAGGGGGCACAGCCCATGCAAAGGCATGAAAATGGAAGATGAGCTGTTATGTCTAGGGAAAGCAAATAGGACAGATTGTCTGAAATGCGGAGTGTGTTGGGGAAATTAATCATTTCAGAAAAATAAATTAGAGACATTGCAAAAGACTTTAAAAGCTGAACAGATGAGTTTGTGCTTCATCCTAGAGGCAATAGGGGGTGACTTCTTGATCAGGAGAGGTTTGGCCGCTATGTGGGGAGGGTGGATTGGAGAAGAGAAAGCCTGGAAACAGGAAGACCAATATAAAAGCCATTATAATAGTCCAGGCAAAAGGTGCTTTACAATTATTATTTTGTTTGATCTTCACAGCAAACCTGGGAGGTGTGTGCTATTATTAACCCCCACTTTACAGATAAGGAAATTGAGGCAAACGGGGTCAAGTGACTTGCCCAGGGTCACATAGCTAGTAAGTGTCTGAGACCAGATTTGAACTCAGGTCTTCCTGACTATGAGCCTGGGACTCTTTCCACTGAGCCACATTATATCTAGCTGCAGAGGTGGGGTGGGAAGAAAGATGGACTGTGTCTTGGGGAGGAATCAAGTTTCTATGAGTACCAGAGGATGGAAGGAACTTCAAAGGAATAACTATGAAGAGAGATTTGTTGAAGAGTGCACAGTATTATAAAACGGGTAAGGAATTCAAAGGGGGTAGGGTTGGGATGGATGTGCATGAGATAATCACAGAATCATAGAATTTTTAGAGTTTGCCATCTAGGCTAACCTACACCCAGGAGTGTGCTGGTAAATATTTAACGACCAGATCTTGGGGGGAGGTGGATGTTTTCCTTACACGTTTTTGTATTTTTATGTTTAATCTGCATTGTCAATATTTTCTCCAACACTCTCAAATCTAGACAGTCAACAAAATACTAAATCAAATCCTGATTTGTTTGCTGATTTTCTGGGTGTATATGCTCACACTGAAAATTCAATAATTGTTTCCAAGTGCCTATTTGAGCTGGCTCCAGGACACCCCTGCTTCTACCCTAGAGGAATCCCCACTGTCAGTCTATGGTTCCAGTGGGGGTGGGAAGGAGGTGAATATTTGTCTTTCTTAACTTGGAGCATCCCTCTGCCCCTGGGGTCCTTCTATTGGTGAGTTCCCTTCTAGAACCTCCAGTTTGAGGAAGGGCCCAGGACAACCATGTTTCTTTTCTCTTGCTTCTTATTATCCAAACTTTTACATTACTTTCTTTATAGCCCTACCCTTGCTCAGCTTTTTAACTCCCTTTCATGTGTTGTCTTCTCTCATTAGACTATAAACTCCTTGAGGGCAGGGGATGTCTTTCTTTTTGCTGCCCATTACATCCCTAGCACTCAGTACAATACCTGGCAGATAGCAAGTGCTTAATAAATGCTCTTGTGCAAAGACATAACCAAGCCTATATAGTGTGTCATGTGTGAGGTAAAGCAAGAAGGCCATTTTGGTTGGACTAGAGAGTGTATGAAGGGGAATAATGTATAATAAGGCTGGAATATTCTGATAGCCAAGACAGAGAAGCTTCAAATCATTGAAAAACAGATAGTATCGCCAGCAATGAAAAAAATGGTGAAGCCATTTTGGAGAGAAGTCTTGCAAGGAATCAAATGCTGCTGTCTTGCACAGAATGGGAGAAATTACTTAAATGAGAAGAACATAGCTGATGATAAGAATATGCAAGAGCCTCTTCTATAATTTTGCACTTTGAATCTAAACGGACTGTGCTAGGAGAGCTGATTTTCAGTGTGATCACTTACACCTTGGAAACTGGCAAATGCTACACATCAGGGCTTGATTAATTGTTTTGTTGATTGTCTGGACTTAAGAAAGTGATGGAGAAAACGTTAATGCAGATTAAACTAAAAAGTGTATCATGAGTACATTTTTTCCCTACGGAGAGCTGGTTATTAAACATTCACCAGCACATTGCTGCTCCTACCTCTTAAAATCCCTGGGGTTCCTTCAAGGTTCACCTCACCTGCTTACATTCCACTTAGAGGAATTCTTTCCTGATCTCCCCAGTGAAGTGTTCTCTCTATTGTACTTATCCATATAGGTTTTATCTTCCCAGTAGAATGTAAGCACTTAAAGGGAAGGAGCTGGGCTTGTGTGTATGTGTGTGTGTGTGTGTGTGTGTGTGTGTGTGCGTGTGTGTGTTATCTTATATCCCTTAGACAAATGCCTTGTATATAACAGGCACTTAATAAGTGCTGTTTGGATTGTCAAATCAGTAAACTAATCAATAAGCATTTATTTAGCACCTACTATGTGCCAGGCACTGTGCTAAGCACTGAGGATGTAAAGAAAGGCAAAAGATAGTCTCAGTTCCCCAGGAACTCATAGTCCAATGGGAGAGACAACATACCAACCACTATGTACAAACAAGATAGAGACAGGATAATTTAGAGGTAATCAGGAGGGAGAAGACTCAAGCATTAAGGAGGATTGGGAAAGGCTTCTTTCTTTCTGAGAGTACGAATGCATTTTCTCTGGCTGTCTCCCATGCCTGGAATGCTCTTCCTCTTCTGCACTGACTCCTGACCTCCCTCACTTTCTTTAAGTCCCAAATAAAAGTCCACCTTTTACTAGAAGCCTTCCCCACCCCTCTTAATTCTAGTGCCTTTCTTTCGATAATTATTTACTATTTATCCTGTATATAGTTTGCTTTGCATATGGTTGTTTACATGTTGTATTCTCAGTTAGGTTATAAGCTCAGGGCTGTCTTTTGCCTCTTTTTGTATCCCCAGTGCTTAGCACAGTGCCTGACACATAGAAAGCACTTAATGAATGCCCATGGATTGATTGGTTGACTTGCTTTATAAACCCATCCTGCCCTGTGATATTTGTGAAATATAAAAGCAGCGGTTGTATTTTCTGAATTGTAGCACAGAGAAGCAAGTTCAGATGCTGTCTTTAGAGCAGGCCTGCACAACCTGTGGCCTG